GAGGTACTTCTGCTGACGTCACTGGAGCTGGGAGTGGTGCTGGTTCCGGAGGTGCTCGTACTGGAGGTACTGGAGCTGCTGGGGCTGGAGGTGCTGAGCCTGAAGGTGCTGCTGCTGGAGACACTGAGGCTGGAGACCCTGGGACTGGAGGTGCCGGTTCTGGGGGTGCTGCTGCTGGTGAAGCTGGTCCTGGAGGAGCTGGAGCTGAGGGTTCTGGAGCTGCTGGAGGTGCTGGGGCTGCTGGGGGTGCTGGAGCTGCTGGTGCTGGTAGCACTGCACAGCCGCGCCTGTTCTTTGCTCCACCGTCTCCGTCGTATCAGCCACCGTCTGAATCTGTACCTCGCCAGGTTCTTTGTCTCCCTTCGTCTACTGGTCTTCCGTTACAGCCTGGCTCACCGTTGCCTCCTCCTTCTCCTTACACTGAGCAGACAGAGGGTCTTACTGAGCGTTGTGAGCCTGCGTCGCGGCCTGTCTCGCCTGTCCGTTCTGGTCGTGTTCCTCGTTCGTGTCAGCCGGCTGTCCCCGGCACCCACCTTGTAGTCCGTCGTCCTTCCTCTCCTCCGCAGAGTGTTCCCCTGCCGTCCCCTCCTGCGTCTTCTCTGCCTACCGTTCCTGAGCCTGAGTCTGACCGTGCTCGTGCTGCTCACCCTACTGACACGCGACTGCTAGCCACAGTTGTCACTGACCCGTCGTTTGAGTCTACTGCTGCATCTGCCTTAGTCGCTGAGCTTGTTGACTTTACTGCTGCCTATCATCTAGACTACGCCGCTAGTCTTGTTGCTGAGTCTAAGTCTGTCTGTCCTCCGTCCGTCAAGGGTGAGTGTGCTCTTGGCACGGACGTCCTTGAGGACAGGCAGGAGGACCTTGAGTGTCTTGCAGGCGCTGCGCCTCATCTCGTGTCCGTGCTGCTTGCCCCTGAGGGAGACCCGGATGCTCCAGACATCCCGACCCCGCGCTCTTATGCTGAGGCGGGTGAGTACTCCTCTCAGTGGCAGACAGCCATGGACGCAGAGATGGCATCCTGGAAGTCCACAGACACGTACGTCGACGAGGTTCCCCCTCCTGGGGCGAACATCGTCAGTGGCATGTGGATTTTCAGGGTGAAGCGGCCGCCAGGTTCTCCGCCTGTCTTCAAGGCTCGTTACGTTGCTCGACGATTCAGTCAGCGAGAGGGAGTTGACTTCTTCCATACCTTCTCCCCCACCCCAAAGATGACCACTCTTCGGGTGCTGCTGTACGTTGCCGCTCAGCGTGACTACGAGCTTCACTCTCTTGACTTCAGCACAGCTTTCTTGCAGGGCAGCCTGCACGAGGAGATCTGGCTGCGCCGCCCGCCTGGCTTCCCTGGGACGTTCCCTCCTGGTACCCAGTGGAGCCTCCAGCGGCCGGTCTACGGTCTCCGCCAGGCGCCACGTGAGTGGCACGACACACTGAGGACGACACTTGCGGCTCTTGGGTTTGCTTCGTCGACTGCTGACCCGTCGCTGTTTCTGCGCACCGACACTTCGCTCCCGCCGTTCTACATCCTCGTGTACGTCGACGACTTGGTCTTTGCCACTGCTGACACTGAGGCTCTCGCCCTGGTGAAGTCGGAGCTGAAGAAGAGACACACGTGCACAGACCTGGGTGAGCTGCGCAGTTACCTTGGCTTGCAGATCACCTGGGACAGAGCACGCCGCACCATCACCCTGAGTCAGTCACACATGGTGCAGCAGGTCCTTCAGCGCTTCCGCTTCACCTGGTCCTCGGCACAGGCCACTCCTCTGGCTACAGGTCTTTCGCTCTCAGCTCCACCTTCGGACGAGTCCGTAGAGCCGAGTGGTCCTTACCCAGAGCTAGTTGGCTGCCTCATGTACTTGATGACCTGCACTCGTCCTGACCTCGCGTACCCTCTTGGCCTTCTGGCTCGCTACGTGGCTCCTGGTCGGCACCAAAAGGTGCACATGGATGCTGCTAAGAGGGTACTGCGCTACTTGTGCAGTACATCGGGCATGGGGCTCGTGCTTGGAGGACGGGGCGACGTTGTCCTCACTGGTCACTCGGACGCTTCTTGGGTTGACGACCAGGCTACGCAGCGGTCGTCACAGGGTTACACCTTCAGCCTTGGCTCTGGTTCAGTTTCTTGGCGTTCTACACACTCGTCTTCAGTTCTCAGCTCCAGTTGTGAGGCTGAGATCTACGCCACAGCCATGGCTACACAGTAGTTACGCTGGCTCACCTACCTGCTGACCGACTTGGGAGAGCGGCCTCGTTCTCCTCCAGTGTTGTACGTCGACAACAAGGCCGCCATTGCCTTGTGTCAGGAGCACAGACTGGAGCACAGAACGAAGCACATCGCTCTGCATTATTTCTTGGCTCGAGAGTTGCAGCAGCGTGGTCAGCTTCGTCTTGCACACGTGGCCACTCAGGCCAACACTGCTGATATATTCACCAAGGCACTTCCGTCTGGTGATCATCAGCGTTTCTGCACTTTGTTAGGCCTTGTGCCCACTTTTCCTCACTTGCTGTAGACTTTGCTTGTACTGTGATCTATATGTATATATACCTTGCTCTGCTAAGTAGAGATCACTGTACTGTTGTTGTTGCATATATACCTCTGCATGTGAACTGGCCTTGTGGCCCTTTGCTTGTGCTCAGTGTGTGTGGTGACGTTGTGATCCACCCTGAGCTTGCTTTGCTTCTCTTGACTGGTCTTGTGACCCCTTACTCTCCCCCACTTTGCCTATGGGGGTGTGTCAAATTATATGTCTATGTCATAATAGAATGTAGGCTTTAGTGGGGTAGCTAATGTAGGTTATAGTTTTTTGTTACTTGTACCCAACTTTCTCGATAGTGCAACCACCTTTACTCTCGACAGCAGGGCCTATGATTCACTTTTAGGCACGCTAATGCATCAGGGTCCCTCTGTGTAGAATCCCTGATCGTCAGTGTCCCCCCAAAAAAAAGCCTGAAAATTCAGTGTTACCTTTAAAAAAAGTCTGATGCATCAGTGTTCCCTTTTTGTAAAGACTGATATTGAACTTCAAACAAGATAACACTAACTAGCTAGCAAGCATCAGCAATAGAGGGTTCATTTACTCATCATCATCACTGCAGTTTGTCTCTGGTTCTTCCAACTCCTCCTCATCTGCCTCCTTTCCCTTGCCATGGCCGCTGCCCTCCCCCTCTCTTGTTGGAGGTGCTGCTGCCACATTCAGTGTCAGTTTCGTTACAACGCAGTGTAATCAGTGTCCCTTACCTGAAAGTTCAGAGTCATCTGGCCCCTAAAGGCTGAAAAATCAGTCCCCCAAAATGTTGAACACTGGAAAATCAGGGTAGGTACAAAAAAATCCCTGAAAATCAGGAATTTCTGGGAAAAAATCCTGATATCGTAGGGCCTGGTAAGAAGGTCCCCCGGGACTCTTGAATGGGTAAGGGGACTCTTATTGTGACAGGTTTTGTGAGGACCCCCCCTTTGCCTCTAATCATCATAAGACCCCCCCTTTTCTGTATACAGTAGTTATTACTGCTATTGTGCATCAGTTCTTACTGGATAAATTTGAATTCTGACACGTTTTTTGTTTCAGACTCGAATTTTAACACTGTACTTGTGTCAGACTCGAATTCTGACACAGATCTGACGTGCCGCTCGCACAAAATTTGCGCGAATTCGGTACGAATATAAGTCCCCCCCGCCCCAAATTGAGCTGTACACCCTAAATAACAGATTGATAGATGATAAATAAGTGTACCCCGGGTCTTAAAATTTTCCTGCCGCCATAATGTCCACCCAAGCATATTTTTTAGCATTTGTAGAGAGTCCCCCGGGTCTTATAGCCGGAACTATATGGTAAAAAAAGGGTGCACGGGCAACCACCAAGTGTCATAATCGTCTCCGACTCCGGCTTCGCACCGCAGAAAGTGACGACCCTCTACACCTCTGTCGAGGGCCTCAAGGCAGACATTGCCATCCGTTACTTGAACATGGGCGAGGTGTGGATCTGTGACGTCTATGTCATAGACAGGGCCCAAAATTGGTTTAGGCCTACCCTTACAAATCAGGGTTTAGGCCCCTCCTTAACCAGACCTCTAGGGTAAAAATTTTCGTACCCTGTTTGCAACAAGGTAAATCAACCGCTAGCCTGATTTGAGCAGGGTCGTTTTAGGCGAAGCCTGTTTCTGTTTCTGTTTTGAGAGTTCAATTATTTTTATTGACATAAACAAGTAGAACATTCGGAGTCCATGAAGTATACACAAGCAACACATGCACAACACACCTACTCAGTGCCACCCCCACTGCCTACATCTTCTTCTACAAACTGGGTCTGCGAAGCCCTGGTGGGGTCAAACCCCTTGGTGGATCGCCTCAGCTTCTCTCCACGAAAGATGGCGACCACCTCAAACCAGTCGACCTCGTACCGCAGCAGGGAGCAACGCATCAGGTGCTCCAGGCTGTGTCGCTAAGGCTACCGCGTCCCCAAGTCTTGATCAGATTCTGCTTGGAGAAGCCGCGCTCGCATTCAACCGTGCTCAATGGCAGCACGGCGACTGACTGCCACATCCGCATGATGTTGGGGAAGGAGACACGCCATGCATCATCCCACAGCATGTTCGTCAGCGCCTGATGGAACTCTTCGTTGTTGTGCTGGGAGAACATTGTGGATGTAAACATCCACAGCTCCTGCTGGGCTCTCTTGTAGTCAAACCCTGCGGGTGGGCGGGGTTGGGGTGAAAGCTTGGCCGATGCTCGCAGACACGGATAGGAATGGGGGGCATTAGTCCAACAAGCAGCAGTCAGAAATACGTGCACGGGTCATCCTCGCGGCAGACTTGAATGCGACAACACACATCAGAACATGTGCAATCCCTGCACAAGGCTTATCTGGCAGCTTGTGGTGTTACAACTTGTGCAGCTGGCCTAGCCACTTCTTGAAAGTTTCCACGCGCTTCGTGTCGTCGGACACGTACAAAGCTGTGCGAAACAGCTTCGTACCTTCCAGGAGTTGCAGGTCGCGCATCCACTACTCCAGCTCGGCGTCAATGGCGCGCACATACTTGATCGACAGCTCGACGCACGCCGTGACATCGCCATCCGTTTCATGTCCTGGCAGCGGTCGCTCGTGCAACGTTAATTCAAACGTGACGGGATTCCCTCCCCGTCTACGCCCTCCGCCTTCATCTCGCGCTTATCCTTCGCATGGTGCCTCTAAATGAACTCGGGAAGCTGCATTTTCTCCCTGCTGCCGAAATGGTGGGAAGGGCCGCGGAGGTAATACCGCGTCTTCAGACGCAGCCTTGTGTGCTGCACGATGTGCGCAACAAGGGTAACGTCCACCTGCACAAGGGCATGACAAGGAGTTAGATAGTGCACGTGATGGCTTGAGACAACATAAACGACAACGACAAAGGCGCTTACCTGCCGCTGCTGGAAGCTTGAGGCAGTTAAGTTCCCAAAGCACATCCGCAAGAAAGCGGATGAGCCAGTGGAACTTGAACGAGGTAACCACCTCGTACAGTTCCGCCTTGTAATCCTTCAACACCACCATGGCCGCAGGGAGCACGTCGAGCAGGCGCTGGATCGCTTCACCACGGGCGAGCCTGCGGGTATCGCTAATCCCCTGCGCCTCTAGATTCGTCTGGCAGAAGATCCGCTGCATCTCTTGAAACTTCTGGTAGTCCACGCTGCTGCGGCCGATGTGGTCAGCGAAGGCGCGCACGACATCGTCAATCATTTGCAGCTCAGGTACCTCTTCAGCAGCAGCACTAGCTGTCAGAATATGCTGTTTGTGTAGCCTGCAGTGGGGTACTCAATAGTGAGTACAGCCCCTTAGGGTTTGCTATTTGTATCCTGCTGCTTGCTAGTTCAATCATCCCTTCTCAATTCTGTTCGTGCACACGTTCCTAGCTCGTACTTGGCGCCTCCTCGTTCTAGTCCTACTGTGGCCTAGGCTACTAAGCCTAGGCCGTACTCCTACTATATTTGACATGGTATCAGAGGGCGGCATGTCTTCCGCCTTCCTGTGTATGGGCCCACCACCCGCATCTGCTGCCGCAGTGTCCGCCGCGCGCCCCGTGGTGCGCGGCGGCGAAACCCTAATTTCTGCCCGCCGCGCGCTCGGGGCGCCTGGCGGTTTTCCCTTCCGTGGCGCCCGTCGTGGTGCCCTTGGGGGGGCCTCCGCGGTCCCCTCCCGTCGAAGCGCCCGTCGAGGCGCTCTCGGGGACCCGCGCGGCCTCCCCTCCCGTCGCCCGTCGAGGCGACCTCGGGGACCCGCGCGGCCTCCCCTCCCGTCGCCCGTCGAGGCGACCTTGGGGACCCGCGCGGCCTCCCCACCAGTCGCCCGTCGTGGCGACCACGGGGGCCGCGCGCGGTCCCCTCCCGTCGCCCGTCGAGGCGACTTCGGGGGGCCCGCGCGGCGCCCTCCCCGTCGCCCGTCGAGGCGGCTCTGGGGGCCCGTCGCGGCGCCCTCCCTGGTGCCCGTCGCGGCGCCCCGGGGGGGGGGCCGCGCGGCTCCCTTCTCGTCGCCCCTCGGGGCGCCCTGGGGGCCGTGCGTTTCCCCCCCCCCCCTCCTCCTACCTTTCACCTGCAGCGGCCGCCCCTGGAGCAGCCCGCACCTGCAGCAGCCGCCCCTGGAGCAGCCCGCACCTGCAGCAGCCGCCCCTGGAGCAGCCCGCACCTGCAGCAGCCGCCCCTGGAGCAGCCCGTGCCTGCAGCAGCCGCCCCTGGAGCAGCCCGTGCCTGCAGCAGCCGCCCCAGGACCCGCGCGAGCCGCCCCTGCGGAAGCCCGTCCCGTCCCCCCCCCCCCCCCCCCCCCCCCCCCCCCCCCCCGTGCTGCCCATTGCTCCCATTCCGCCGTGCGTTCCGCGGTGGTGGGGGTGTGGGGTGGCGAGCATGGGGGTGAGAGGTGTGGGTTCTCCCCTCCTCCTTTTTCGTCTCCCACTGCTGCAGCTGCCGCTGAGGGGGGTGGAGGTGTGGGAGTCGTGGGGAGGGGTATTATGGGGGTGAAGGGGGAGTGGAGCTAGGGGTGAAGCAGGGGGTGTGTGTCAGGGGGGATGGGACTGTTTGGGGAGGCTGAGAGGAGGCTGCCGTCTTGTCGTCCGCAGCACCTGTAGTCCGGGGCGCTGTCCTGGTAGCCCAGAGAGCCTGCTGCGCCTGTCGCCCGTGGGTCCGTTGCTCCTGTAGCTCCTCGTAGCCCGTGAGCCAGTTACTCCAGTAGTCCGGGGCGCTGTCCCGGTAGCCACTGTGCCAGCCGCTCCTGTTGCCCGTGTGTCTGCAGCTTCAGCCGTCGTCTCCCATCTTCTCTCCTCTCATAGTCCCTCCTCCTCCTCACTTGCCCGCTGTGACTACCACTAGCTTTGCTCATAATTGTGAACTACTGCTATGCTTGCTCATTGTGCTGATTACACCCCACTTTGGCTATGGGGGTGTGTCAGAATATGCTGTTTGTGTAGCCTGCAGTGGGGTACTCAATAGTGAGTACAGCCCCTTAGGGTTTGCTATTTGTATCCTGCTGCTTGCTAGTTCAATCATCCCTTCTCAATTCTGTTCGTGCACACGTTCCTAGCTCGTACTTGGCGCCTCCTCGTTCTAGTCCTACTGTGGCCTAGGCTACTAAGCCTAGGCCGTACTCCTACTATATTTGACACTAGCAACGAGTGCCTCCCTGTACATAAGGGCACATGGACAAAGGGTAAGTCAATAGCAACTCATGTAGCGACGGCAGCACGGAGCACACAATGGTGACGCGTACCGGTGAGCGATACTATGTGTTGAGGCCAGATGCGGAATGCGCATTCGTAGCCGTGTCCCGACTCCTCTGTTTTTGCCGACCATCACGCTGGCACCATCAAAGGCGACGCTGGAGATCTTCTGGAGGTCGACCCCGATACTTGTGAGATACTGCACGACAGCCGATGTGAGTGAGGCACCGTCAGCACGATCAACAATAATGAGTGTTAAGAACTTTGTAACCATCGTGGTGCGCTGGAAGAGCGTGGTGTAAAGAATGAGGTGCTTCCCATGCACCCGGTCCGTGCTCTCGTCGAGGGAAATCCCTATCCACGAGGATTCAAGCAGGTGCAGACGTTGTTTCTCTTGAAGGTATATTGAGAGTGCGCGCAGGTTTTCCTTGAATCCGTAACTGCCAGGGGAAAACACATGTCGTCAAATCACAGAGTGCATAATACAGAATACACCAGGTTCACCAACGCTTGCCACCACTTACTCTGTGTAGTACGCGCCGTAGCCGCCAGCGGGAGGAAGGTCTGGTAACCCCTCCTTCGCCAGAAACTAGCACAGCGGGACGAACATCGCTATGGGTGCGTCCGCCTTGCAGACGAAGAGCGCGATGTGGAGGAGCCGAATGATGTGACGGGTGGAAGCGTCCGTGATCTGCCACCGAGTGAGTGTGGCCTGCTTCACCTTCTCTGCCTCCGCCTTCTTTTGAGTCTCCGCCGCGTTCTTGTGTGCACAGGTCGAGGAGTGAGTGCGGATGCTGCCGATCTGGAGATCCCGAGCACCCTCACCCTTCGCCCCATAAGCGGTGTGCGCTAGTGGATCTCCGTGCTTCACACAAATGGCACACTTCAAAGACGGACACCCGTTAGACATGCGGAGCAAACGCAACCATTTGAAACTACATGCCCACTGAGCCTCAAACGTCTTCTTCACCGACTCGTACTCTGCATCCGCCAGAGCGGTGGGTGGCTTCGGATCGGCCGAAGGAGCATGGCGCTTGTGTGAAGTAGCGTTTTGGGGAGGAGGGGCGCCCCAGAGCGTCTGCTGCTTGTACGTAGTTCCCGCACGAGGTCGCTTGACGGGCGCGGTGCTGACAGTCGAAGGCGAAGCAGTATGCGGCTTTGACGAGCCCTCGCCACCTCCGGGAACTAATTCTATGTCAGGATGTGGCTCCCACGTCGTGGGTGAGTCTGGCGGCTCGAACGGATAAACCCTTCCTACCACACATTCTGGAGACGGCTCACGAGGCGGCGGCTGTGCGATGGGTACGGCGTAGTTCTCGCTAAGGCGTGGTAAAACGCCCAGCACGGAGAGGCCGTTTTTCGCGCCATCAGGTGGATCGGGCTCTCCAGTGGGCATTGTGGAGTTGAAAGTTGAGAATGGTTGAGAATGAGGGCCAAGCGAGAGACCCCCTCGTAGAGAACGACCCTCTGGCAGCCTCGAAAGGGCCGTTATTTCCACGGGGCGGGTGTCAGAATGTCATATTTGTCTAGCCTGCAGTGGGGTACTCAATAGTGAGTACAGCCCAATCTAGGGTTTACTATATGTACTCAACTGCTTGCAAGTGAAAACCTCTCTTTCTTGATTCTGATTTCTGCCTAGCCTTTCAACATGCTATCAGAGCAGGTCGACCCTCCTGGGTCGATCCTGTGGGTGGTCCCGCCCTATGCTTCCGCTGCTGTCTTGTCTGTCGCGCGCCCCGTGGCGCGCGACGTTTTTTCTTCCCGCCACGCGTTCGGGACGCATGGCGGTTTTCTGCTCGCCGCGCGCTCCGAACGCGCGGCGGTTTTCTGCCTACCGTGCGCCCCGAGGCGCGCGGCGGTTTCCCACCGTCGCGTCACCCCGGGGGCCCGCGCGCGGCTCCCCTTTGCCCTCCGTGGCGGCCCTGTCGACCGCGCGCGGTCCCCCCGTCGTTCGTCGCGGCGCCCTCGGGGACCCGCGCGCGGCCCTCCGTCGTCCGTCGTGGCACCCTCGGGGACCCGCGCGCTTCCCCCGTCGTCCGTCGTGGCGCCCCAAGGGACCCTCGCGCGGCCCCCTGTCACCCGCCGTGGCGCCCCCGTCGACCCGCGCGTCGCCCCCGGGGACCCGCGCGCCCGTCCCTGTCGACCCGCGCGCCACTCCCGTGGACCCGCGCGCCGCGTCTGTCACCAGCGTGGCCACCTGCGTGGCCCGCTGCTGCCCGCGCTCCTGTGTTAGGGTTTTGGGGTGGAGAGTATGGGGGTGCCGGGTGTGTGAGCCGTCCCCTGCTCCTCCTCCTCCTCCGTCTCCCACTGCTGCAGCTGCCGCTGAGGAGGGTGGATGTGTTGGAGCCGTCAGAGTGGTTCGAGGGGGGTGGCGTGTGAGCGGTGCTAGTGGTTCAGCAGGGAGTGTGTGACAGGAGTGTGGGACAGTTGGGGGAGGTTGACCGGGGGCAGTCGTCTTGTCGTCCGCAGCGCCTGAAGTCCAGAGAGCCACGACCCCCTGTGGCCTGAGTAGTCCGGGGCTCTGCGCCCGGTAGCCACAATGTGAGCACTCCTGGTAGTCCAGAGAGCCACGACCCCCTGTGGCCTGAGTAGTCCGGGGCTTTGCGCCCGGTAGCCACAGTGTGAGCACTCGTGGGAGCACAGAGAGTCAGCTGCGCCTGTCGCCGTGTAGTCCGGGTTTAGCCTGGTAGCGACAGTTCTGCGCACTCCTGTTGCCCGTGTGTCTGGAGCTTCAGCCGTCGTCTCGCATCTCCTCGCCCCCACAGTTTCTCCTCCTCCTCACTTGCCCTTTGTGAATGCCTCTAGCTTTGCTTACATTTGTGAACTGGCCTTGTGGCCTTGTACTTGTGCTCAGAATGTGTGGTGACTTTGTGATCCACCCTGAGCTTGCTATGCTTTGCTTGTTGTGCTGATTACACCCCACTTTGGCTATGGGGGTGTGTCAGAATGTCATATTTGTCTAGCCTGCAGTGGGGTACTCAATAGTGAGTACAGCCCAATCTAGGGTTTACTATATGTACTCAACTGCTTGCTAGTGAAAACCTCTCTTTCTTGATTCTGGTTTCTGCCTAGCCTTTCAACAGCGGGAAGTGTATGGCCAGCAAGGCAGGACTGGCCATGCAAGTTGTTGTTAAGGACAGCTTGAAGCTGTCCTTGTAAGCCAATTCTGCTGTGATGGCGGTGGGCGTGGCGACAAGTGTCGAGATTCAAGAATATGTTGGCAGTCCTACGCGTGGTCACAAGCGACAACGGGTGTTTGTGGGGGTGTTGTACGTTTTGTCACCACGCGGCCTATGGTCTGATTCGCGTTAGAAAAGATTCGGTAAAAGGGTAGTGTACACCAAACCCTGATTCCGTCAGGGTAGCCTAAAACCCTATCAGGGTAAAATAAAACATGCTCTTTTAAGAGAAGGGTAACTATTGTGCAATCCTGATTTTGGCAGGGTAATCCTGAAAAAGCGGCCGCCGGCCCCCAGGGTAAACAGGGCGTTTTACCCTGATATTTTGGGCCCTGGTCATAGACCCCATCTCTTCTCAGGACCCATAGACAAAGCCCGCTCTAAGGAACACAAATACTGGAACCCGATCTAAGTGGGTCAGATTCCTTGCCATGTCGGCTGACTGATCCGTCTAATTATTCCCAAGGGTGTTCCGGTACATACGACCCTATGCCAACCTTGCAACCAAACGACTACACAATGCGGAACCATCGTCCCTGGCGGAATCTCTCTTACACTGTTTTTATGTGAATCATCCCAGTTCTCGTACAATAAGAGGGCCATTCTAAACGGAGTCAATTGCAAGTCAACACATGACTAGTGTGACTGATAGCCTGCCAGGTCAGCAGCGGCATGAGGGCTGGAACCTGGCTCCAGGCGACCGCGCGCCATTCTTGGGTCTACACCGAGGACCTAATTCCTTTTCTCAATTCTCGGGTCGTGTTTCATTTGACACGTGTATTTTCTCTGTAAGCGTTTGACGAAACGGGCCATTGTGTCGACATCGTCAACAACTAAGTGTTGCATTCGTGCCTTGCATTCCGCATTGATACCGAGACTCCTCACACCAGACCAAACTGCACCTGTACGTGGAATAGTAAGCAAGGCTTACAGTTACCCCTGTCGCTAGATTCCATCAAAGATTCCTAGTTGGCCTGACAGGAGTGTGTGCTCCTGCACGCGGCTGACAGGACTCACGGAATCGCATCCGTCGTTACCTTCCGCGCTAGGCGCTCACGTGCACCCGCTGCGCGCCGAGCAACGATATTCCATCAACGTAGTATCAGGAAAGTAGCGGTTTTAACGCGTTCTTTTGTACCAGCATTCGGCGTGACTCTAACACCAGGTCGCTGTCTCCGCCGCCGCCGCCCATGCCGCGCCAGCCGCGGATGGTTCCGCTCAGCCATCTCCGCCTGCTCTCCGCCGTCGTCGCCGCGCTGCTTCTCTCACCCGCATGTGTCCGCTCCCCGCCACTTGCGCGCGCGCAGCTCTGGGCCAAGTCGCAGCGTGAGTGACTTTCGCGGCGCCTCGGATCATGTCGCCACCGCGCTGATTCTATCACCCGCGTGTTCGCTCTCGTGCGCGCCGGGCCGGGCCGCGGCGTTCCTCGTGTGCGCCGTAGTCGTCGTTACTAGTACGGCCGGGGTATTAACAGAGCCTACACGCGCTTTGTAGGTTGTTGCTACTGTGTTGTGCGGCATCATGCGGCATCATGTGGCATCATGGAATGCAATGCGGCACCATTTTGATTATTCCCCAGCATCCACAGCCTGTGCCTCATGTCGTGGAGCCACATGAGATCATGATGATGGCACTAGTAGTAGTGGTAAGGCTTCCACTGCCCACCTGCTTCTCTTCAGCGGAATCTAGGCATCGTAGAACGCAATGCACCGTCTTATGAGTGATTTTTGAGAATTCTAAAAAATCACTCGCAAGAACGCAAAGCACCCGTCCCCGGCGATCCGTTAAACAGGAACTTCATTTCCCCCCGTCCCCTTTTCCAAATCCCAACTCCTCCCCTTCACCCCTTCTTCCCCGCACTCCTCCTTTATTTCCCGTTTTCCCTACTTCTCCCGCCCCCGTCCCGCGTCCCCTTCCCCCTTGTCTCACCCGGCACTGACGTTTCTGACCGATTGCCAGGCGGCATGGACGCGCAGTTTCAGTTGGTGGGACTCAACCGCAAATTGTAGCAAGGCCGTGTTCGTCACATGCGACCAGGACGGCATGCTCACCTCCATGTGCGCACATGGATTGGCATGGTGTGGCATGGCATGGTCTGGCGTGGCATAGCATGGTGTGGCATGGCATAGCATGGGGTGGCATGGCGTGGCATGGCGTGGCATGCATGTCAACCACTCACGGGTTCCGCTTGTGCCACATGCCACCTGTGAGGATTCTCCTAAATGACACATGCATCGCCTCGCCTCCCCCTGTCCTCTCTCTCCACCCCCCTTTTCCACCCTCCGCCCTTGCAGGGCTCTCGTATCCCAGTCGCTCACAGGGTTCCTGCCATCATCCGTGGGAGCTGCCACACGCCTCTCCAGTCTGTGAGTGCACATGTTGCTCCATTCTGGCTATATCAGCGTCACTTCTGCGAATTCTCAAGAGTTTCATGTGTAGGTTCTGTGCTGTGCTGCCGTGCTCGCTGCATTCCTGTGCATGGTTCGTTTGCATGCTCAGCTGTGTGTGCGTGCGCCTGTGCGTGCCTGCCTGTGAGTGCGTGCGTGTGTGTCCGCACGCGTGTGTGTGTGTGTGCACGCGTGTGCATGCACGAATCCCAACAGGAGCTTCTACAACAACACTCTGAGTGGTTCCATTCCAGACACCATCGGCAACCTTGTCTCACTGAATCACTTGTGAGCCACACCAACCAGCCAACAGTGCAACAGTCCAACAGTGTAGCATCGTTGAAGTGGAAAATTGGATTAGTGCACGTATGGGCATTTATGCACTCTTGAAGCGCCACCCACCAAAACAAAAGAAAGCAGCCTGCCAATGTCGTTGAGCTTCCTCGCTCTATCGCATACCCTTCTAAGGTATGCGGAAACCATACCACAGACAGTCGTCAGCCCCAGGTTCAAGATCTCTCCCGCCCCTCCCATGCTCTCTCCCTCATGCTCTCCGTGTGATGCTCTTGGCAGTGATATCGCGTCCAACAAGTTTTCTGGATTCTTGCCTTCCGCCATTGGGAAGCTCTCCCGGCTCACTTTCCTGTACACCCCTGCTTCACTGCCTTGCTTGGCCTCTTTGGATTGGGTATATCGTGCTTGATCAGGCTTGAGCGTGCTTGATTGCGTTTTATTGTGCATGACCATGCCATGATCGATCAAACTGCCAGCCTCCAGGTGGCCCATAGCGTGCACATGTGCTCGGTCCCTCTGCAGTCATCTGCCTTTCTCCATGATTCTACCAGCCTTCTCTCTCTTGCTACAAGTCCATCCTCCCATCCACAACACCCCGTATGCCATCTCCATTTCTCGTCCTACCCCACCATCCTCCGACCCTCTCACTCTCCCTCCACCCTCCTGTCGCCACACCCACACTCCCACGTCCCCACCACCACCACCACCACCACCACCACCACCACCACCACCACCACCACCACCACCACCACCACCACCACCACCACCACCACCACCACCACCACCACCACCACCACCACCACCACCACCACCACCACCACCACCACCACCACCACCACCACCACCACCACCACCACCACCACCACCACCACCACCACCACCACCACCACCACCACCACCACCACCACCACCACCACCACCACCACCACCACCACCACCACCACCACCACCACCACCACCACCACCACCACCACCACCACCACCACCACCACCACCACCACCACCACCACCACCATCACGCATGGCAGGACGGTGTCTCATAATCGACTGGAAGGCAATGTTCCCAAGACCATCTCCTCCCTCACCAACCTCCAGAAGCTGTCAGTCACATGCACGCATGGATGCACAGATGCAGTGTGCGTCTGCGAGCACGCACTGAAGAGCACCTTGCCTCGCCTCACTTCTCCCTCTCTCTTCCTCCTGCCTTTTGCCCTGCCCCCTCTCGCCCTGCCCCTCTCGCCCTGCCCCTCGCCCTGCCCTCTCGCCCTGCCCCTCTCGCCCTGCCCCTCTCGCCCTGCCCCTCTCGCCCTGCCCCTCTCGCCCTGCCCCTCTCGCCCTGCCCCTCTCGCCCTGCCCCTCTCGCCCTGCCCCTCTCGCCCTGCCCCTCTCGCCCTGCCCCTCTCGCCCTGCCCCTCTCGCCCTGCCCCTCTCGCCCTGCCCCTCTCGCCCTGCCCCTCTCGCCCTGCCCCTCTCGCCCTGCCCCCTCTCGCCCTGCCCCTCTCGCCCTGCCCCTCTCGCCCTGCCCCTCTCGCCCTGCCCCTCTCGCCCTGCCCCTCTCGCCCTGCCCCTCTCGCCCTGCCCCTCTCGCCCTGCCCCTCTCGCCCTGCCCCTCTCGCCCTGCCCCTCTCGCCCTGCCCCTCTCGCCCTGCCCCTCTCGCCCTGCCCCTCTCGCCCTGCCCCTCTCGCCCTGCCCCTCTCGCCCTGCCCCTCTCGCCCTGCCCCTCTCGCCCTGCCCCTCTCGCCCTGCCCCTCTCGCCCTGCCCCTCTCGCCCTGCCCCTCTCGCCCTGCCCCTCTCGCCCTGCCCCTCTCGCCCTGCCCCTCTCGCCCTGCCCCTCTCGCCCTGCCCCTCTCGCCCTGCCCCTCTCGCCCTGCCCCTCTCGCCCTGCCCCTCTCGCCCTGCCCCTCTCGCCCTGCCCCTCTCGCCCTGCCCCTCTCGCCCTGCCCCTCTCGCCCTGCCCCTCTCGCCCTGCCCCTCTCGCCCTGCCCCTCTCGCCCTGCCCCTCTCGCCCTGCCCCTCTCGCCCTGCCCCTCTCGCCCTGCCCCTCTCGCCCTGCCCTCTCGCCCTGCCCCTCTCGCCCTGCCCCTCTCGCCCTGCCCCTCTCGCCCTGCCCCTCTCGCCCTGCCCCTCTCGCCCTGCCCCTCTCGCCCTGCCCCTCTCGCCCTGCCCCTCTCGCCCTGCCCCTCTCGCCCTGCCCCTCTCGCCCTGCCCCTCTCGCCCTGCCCCTCTCGCCCTGCCCCTCTCGCCCTGCCCCTCTCGCCCTGCCCCTCTCGCCCTGCCCCTCTCGCCCTGCCCCTCTCGCCCTGCCCCTCTCGCCCTGCCCCTCTCGCCCTGCCCCTCTCGCCCTGCCCCTCTCGCCCTGCCCCTCTCGCCCTGCCCCTCTCGCCCTGCCCCTCTCGCCCTGCCCCTCTCGCCCTGCCCCTCTCGCCCTGCCCCTCTCGCCCTGCCCCTCTCGCCCTGCCCCTCTCGCCCTGCCCCTCTCGCCCTGCCCCTCTCGCCCTGCCCCTCTCGCCCTGCCCCTCTCGCCCTGCCCCTCTCGCCCTGCCCCTCTCGCCCTGCCCCTCTCGCCCTGCCCCTCTCGCCCTGCCCCTCTCGCCCTGCCCCTCTCGCCCTGCCCCTCTCGCCCTGCCCCTCTCGCCCTGCCCCTCTCGCCCTGCCCCTCTCGCCCTGCCCCCTCTCGCCCTGCCCCTCTCGCCCTGCCCCTCTCGCCCTGCCCCTCTCGCCCTGCCCCTCTCGCCCTGCCCCTCTCGCCCTGCCCCTCTCGCCCTGCCCCTCTCGCCCTGCCCCTCTCGCCCTGCCCCTCTCGCCCTGCCCCTCTCGCCCTGCCCCTCTCGCCCTGCCCCTCTCGCCCTGCCCCTCTCGCCCTGCCCCTCTCGCCCTGCCCCTCTCGCCCTGCCCCTCTCGCCCTGCCCCTCTCGCCCTGCCCCTCTCGCCCTGCCCCTCTCGCCCTGCCCCTCTCGCCCTGCCCCTCTCGCCCTGCCCCTCTCGCCCTGCCCCTCTCGCCCTGCCCCTCTCGCCCTGCCCCTCTCGCCCTGCCCCTCTCGCCCTGCCCCTCTCGCCCTGCCCCTCTCGCCCTGCCCCTCTCGCCCTGCCCCTCTCGCCCTGCCCCTCTCGCCCTGCCCCTCTCGCCCTGCCCCTCTCGCCCTGCCCCTCTCGCCCTGCCCCTCTCGCCCTGCCCCTCTCGCCCTGCCCCTCTCGCCCTGCCCCTCTCGCCCTGCCCCTCTCGCCCTGCCCCTCTCGCCCTGCCCCTCTCGCCCTGCCCCCTCTCGCCCTGCCCCTCTCGCCCTGCCCCTCTCGCCCTGCCCCTCTCTCGCCCTGCCCCTCTCGCCCTGCCCCTCTCGCCCTGCCCCTCTCGCCCTGCCCCTCTCGCCCTGCCCCTCTCGCCCTGCCCCTCTCGCCCTGCCCCTCTCGCCCTGCCCCTCTCGCCCTGCCCCTCTCGCCCTGCCCCTCTCGCCCTGCCCCTCTCGCCCTGCCCCTCTCGCCCTGCCCCTCTCGCCCTGCCCCTCTCGCCCTGCCCCTCTCGCCCTGCCCCTCTCGCCCTGCCCCTCTCGCCCTGCCCCTCTCGCCCTGCCCCTCTCGCCCTGCCCCTCTCGCCCTGCCCCTCTCGCCCTGCCCCTCTCGCCCTGCCCCTCTCGCCCTGCCCCTCTCGCCCTGCCCCTCTCGCCCCTGCCCCTCTCGCCCTGCCCCTCTCGCCCTGCCCCTCTCGCCCTGCCCCTCTCGCCCTGCCCCTCTCGCCCTGCCCCTCTCGCCCTGCCCCTCTCGCCCTGCCCCTCTCGCCCTGCCCCTCTCGCCCTGCCCCTCTCGCCCTGCCCCTCTCGCCCTGCCCCTCTCGCCCTGCCCCTCTCGCCCTGCCCCTCTCGCCCTGCCCCTCTCGCCCTGCCCCTCTCGCCCTGCCCCTCTCGCCCTGCCCCTCTCGCCCTGCCCCTCTCGCCCTGCCCCTCTCGCCCTGCCCCTCTCGCCCTGCCCCTCTCGCCCTGCCCCTCTCGCCCTGCCCCTCTCGCCCTGCCCCTCTCGCCCTGCCCCTCTCGCCCTGCCCCTCTCGCCCTGCCCCTCTCGCCCTGCCCCTCTCGCCCTGCCCCTCTCGCCCTGCCCCTCTCGCCCTGCCCCTCTCGCCCTGCCCCTCTCGCCCTGCCCCTCTCGCCCTGCCCCTCTCGCCCTGCCCCTCTCGCCCTGCCCCTCTCGCCCTGCCCCTCTCGCCCTGCCCCTCTCGCCCTGCCCCTCTCGCCCTGCCCCTCTCGCCCTGCCCCTCTCGCCCTGCCCCTCTCGCCCTGCCCCTCTCGCCCTGCCCCTCTCGCCCTGCCCCTCTCGCCCTCTCGCCTGCCCCTCTCGCCTGCCCTCTCGCCCTGTCGCTCCCTCCATGAATCTCTTCCCTTTCTTCTCTGCGTCTGTCCCACACTTATCGTTCTCAGCGCCTCCCGGCGTGTGTGTACCCACAAGCACCCACATGGACCCACAGTATCCCACTACTTTCCTTCTGGGAATACTCACAGTGCTCCCCCACACACCCATGAGCATCTGCGTCCCTGTTTCCTTTCTGCAACCCCCGTTTCCACCCGTCTCTCTGCCATCCAGCCTGCGCTTTTTTTCCCGTGTGTCTCCTCCCGACCCGGCAGGAGTATGTTCAACAACTCTTTCTCGGGTGACATCCCTCCTGCCATCTATGGACTCAAGGCGCTCAACTTGCTGTACGCCATGCATGCACCCATGCACCCGTAGGGTACAAGTAGTGCGGTGTAGTAGGCGTAGGAGTGCGGGTCACAAGACTAGCTGAGGAGAGGGCGGGGAAAGGGGATAAGCTAGGGGGGTTGTTGAGGCGGTTGGAAGAGACAGACCATGATGGCATGCGATGCCATGCGTGTCCCCCAATGAGTTAAGGAGCAGGGAGCAAGGAGCAGGGAGCAGGGAGTAAAGGAGCGACTGCTTTTAAGGAGTCCTTTGGACAATTCTTGAAAGCGACTCAGATACCCCCCCACCTCGTGCATGAGCAGGGAGCTAGGGCGCAACTACTTCACGGGGTCCTTCCCCTCGCAGTTCGGAGACCTGGTTAACCTCCAGTTCTTGTGAGGCCGCACCCTGCTTGCTCTCCACCCATGTGCCATGTGCCCATGTGCCATGTGCCTACGTACCATGTGCCATGTGCCATGTGCCATGTGCCATGTGCCATGTGCCTATGTACCATGTGCTTTCTTGCATATGCTGTCCACCATCCACGTACCTTGCTTCCTCCGAGGACTCGGCCCTGCTCTCGCTTCACCACTTGAGAGCACTCCATCCACCATGCTGGGAATCAACATGGCATGTGGAATGGCATTGCAGGGAGGCGAGCTACATGGGTCTGACAGGCGAGCTGCACTCGAGCCTGGGCAACTTGAAGAATCTTCAAACGCTGTGTGGTGTGCTGCCGGGTAATGAGTGCTGCCGGGTAATGAGTGCTGCCGGGTAATGAGTGCTGCCGGGTAATGAGTGCTGCCGGGTAATGAGTGCTGCCGGGTAATGAGTGCTGCGTCCTCCGTGTTGCGTAGTGTGTGGAGAGAGTTTCGGGACTCGTGTTGTATGTAGGCAAGTCAAAGCATTGGGGGCTGGCTGCATGGTAAGCAGTTCATCATGCTGCGAGGATGCAATCTATCATGCTGCTGAGTCTGTTTGTTTTTGTGTGTGTGTGTGTGTGTGTGTGTGTGTGTGTGTGTGTGTGTGTGTGTGTGTGTGTGTGTGTGTGTGTGTGTGTGTGTGTGTGTGTGTGTGTGTGTGTGTGTGTGTGTGTGTGTGTGTGTGTGCTGTGTGTGTGTGCTGTGTGTGTGCTGTGTGTGTGCTGTGTGTGTGCGTGCTGTGGGTGTGTGCTGCCTCCATTGACTCACAGCGCCTGCAGATACTTCAAGTTGCCCAGGCTCGAGTGCAGCTCGCCTGTAAGACCCATGTTGCCTGCCTCCCTGCCATGCCACACGCCATGCCACACGCCAGCCATGCCACACGCCAGCCATGCCACACGCCATGCCACACGCCATGCCACATGCCGCATGGATGCCCGCATGGCAGGGCATATTGAGGGATGCGTGCTCTCAATTGGTGGTGAAGCGTGGGCAGGGAAGCATGCCAAAGGGAACAAGCTCATTGCATGATTGCTTGCTTCTACATGGACAGAGGACGGCACATTGCAAAAAGAAACATGGCACATGGCGCATCATGGCTCATGGCACTAGGGCACATGGGCACATGCAGGTGGAGCAAGCAGGGGGACGGCTCACAGGTACTCGAGGTTATTTTTGAGGCGCCTCAAAAAGCAAGCAGGGGGGGAAGCTCACAGGTACACGAGGTTGGACAGGGTACCAAACTGTGAGGGGAACGACCCTGTGAAGTAGTTGCGCCCTACCTCCCTGCTCATACACGAATGGGAAGGAATGCAGGGCGCGGCAGGGAATACTGAGGATTCTTCAAAAGATGCTGTGAGGGGAAGGACCCATGAAGTTAATGCGTCCTACCCTGCTCATACACGACTGAGGGGGCGCATGGCGTGACATGCCACCATGGTCTCTATCTTCTCCCTATTGCATGGCGTGACATGCCATCATGGTGTCAACATCTCCCTCCCTCTCGAACCCACCTATCCCGCCCTCCCCCAAAGTAGTCGTGCGACCTGTGCTCTTAAGCCTACCAAGGCCGCACTACTTTTGTTGGTTGCAGCATAACCTTGCAATCATATGCACCATGGGTGCATTCATTGGTGCATGCATGGGCGCATGCATGGGTGCGTGAATAAACGAATGAATGGGTGCATGCATGGGTGCATGCATGGGTGCATGCATGGGTGCATGCATGGGTGCGTGCATGGGTGCATGCATGAATGACATACAGCACGGTGAGGGCCTTGAGCCCATAGATGGCAGGGGGAATGGAACCCGAGAACGAGTTGTTGTACAGGCCCCTGCCAGGGAGGGGTTCACAGATAGAGGGAAACAGGGACGCAGGTGCTTGCCAGTCCATGCCAGTGCATGTGGGTGCATGGAGGGGCAGGGCGAAAGGCAGGAGCAAGAGAGAGAGGGAACTGAGGCGAGGCAAGGTACTCTTCAGTGTGTGCTGGCAGGCGCAAGTTGCATCCATGCATCCATGCATGTATAAGACTGACAGCTGCTCGAGGTTGGTGAGCGCGGAGATGGTGCTGGGAATAGCGCCACCCAGTCGGTTCTGAGACACCGACCTGCCGTGCGTGATGGCGGTGTGGGGGGCGAGGGCGGGGAGGTGGGAGTGGGAGTGTGGTAGTGGCGAAATGAGGGTGGTGGTGAGAGTGTGGGAGGGGTGGTGGCTGGCGAGAGTGATGGAGGTGAAAGAAGGGGCACGTCTGACGGGATAGGGTCGCGGAAAGTGTGAGAAAAGCAATGATAGGGGCAGATGAAGGCTACACGGGAAATGATGGCAATGAGGGCAATGAGGGCAATGAGGGCAATGAGGGAAATGAAGTGCGGGCGTACAGGAAAGTGAGCAACGAGAGCTTCCCAATAGCAGCAGGCAAGCCTCCTGAGAATTTGTTGGCGGAGAGATCACTGCCGAGAGCGTCACATGGAGTGAGTAGAAGGAAGGGAGGGAGCATGGCTGAGGCGAGTTAGATATTGACTGCATGCTGGCCGGCCGGCCTGTGACATGGTGCTTGCATGCCTTGACAGGGTTGGTGATAGAGCGAGGAAGCACAAGAGACACAGGAGTTGTACGTTGGGTGGGGTTTGGCTCTTGTGGCCAGTGGGTGAGGTGCAGCTCGGCGTGGTGTGACGTGGTGTGGTGTGTTGTGGTGTGCCGTGTCTTGGTGAGGTGGCTCACAAGGATTCGAGTGAGACAAGGTTGCCGATGGTGTCTGGAATGGAACCACTCAGAATGTTGTTGTAGAAGCCGCTGTTGGGATTCGTGCACGAACACACCGACACAAGCACACACACATGGATACACACACGCGCACATGCATACACGCACGCACAAACACACACACGCACACACACGCGCGCGTGCGCGCGCGCGCACACACACACACACACACACACACACACACGCACACACACACACACACACACACACATAGAGCTGAGCATGCACAGGCACGCGCCTGTTGCCACACGCGTGAATGCAGCGAGCAAGGCTGCTCAGCACAGGACCTATGCGCGAACGTTCGGAGAATTATCAGAAATGACGCAGACACAGGCGGCATGAAGCAACACGCATGCTCACAGCTTGGAGAGTCGTGTGGCATCTCCCACGGATGCTGGCAGGAACCCTGTGAGCGACTGCGACAAGAGGCCCCTGGCAGCCGCGCAGGGGCGGAGGTGTGGAAGGGGAGGGACGAGAGGGAGGCGATGCATGTGTCAGTCAGTCCCACAGGAGAGTGACAACAGGTGACACAGGCGGTCTCTTTGAGTGACTGCGATATAAGAGGCCCCTGGCGGCCGTGCAGGGGCGGGCGGAGGTGTGGAGTGGGGGACGAGAGGACGAAGGAGGGAGCGGGTGGGCGGATGAGAGATAAGAGAATGAAAGGGTGCGAGCGAGAAAGAATGGTGAGGTTGGATGCTACCATGCCTTCCTATGATGTGCCCCACATGCTGGTGAGCATGCCATGACATGGCCATGCCATACCACGCCACGCCACGCAAAGCCACACCATGCCATGCCATGCCACACCATGCCATGCCATGCCATGCCATGCCACACCATGCCATGCCATGCCATGCCATGCGCGCACATGGAGGTGAGCATGCCGTCCTGGTCGCATGTGACGAACACGGCCTTGCTGCAGTTGGAGGTGGCGTCCCATCCGCTGAAACTGCGCTTCCATGCCGCCTGGCACTCCGTCAGAAACGGCACTGCCGGGGAAGAGCAGGGGGAGGGGACGCGGGGGACAGGGAGGTGGGGGGAGTGGGGTGGGAGGACGGGAGTGGGAGAAACGGGGAGAACGGGAAAGAAGGGTGGGGTAGGGTGAAGCGAGAGGGTGAAGAAGGGGAGGACGGGGAGAGAGTGGAGTTGGGGATTGCAAGGGGGAGGGGGGAAGGTGTATTTTGAGGCGCCTCAAAATACACCTCAATGCAAGGGGGAGGGGGGAAGGTGTATTTTGAGGCGCCTCAAAATACACCTCAATGCAAGGGGGAGGGGGGAAGGTGTATTTTGAGGCGCCTCAAAATACACCTCAATGCAAGGGGGAGGGGGGAAGGTGTATTTTGAGGCGCCTCAAAATACACCTCAATGCAAGGGGGAGGGGGGAAGGTGTATTTTGAGGCGCCTCAAAATACACCTCAATGCAAGGGGGAGGGGGGAAGGTGTATTTTGAGGCGCCTCAAAATACACCTCAATGCAAGTGGGAGGGGGGAAGGTAGGATTCTTGCTTGAAGGAATTGGCGGGGTAAAAGACGGTGCATTCTACGATGACTACTTTTTACGAAGAGAAGAGGGTGGGATGCGGAGGCCTATACTTCAGCAGGTTATTATGTATGACTCCATGCCATGGGCTGTGGCGGCCGGAGGCCGGGTATAAGATGGTGCATTGCATTCCATGATTTCTATGATGCCGCGCAACATAGTAGCAACGACCTAGAAAGCGCGTGTAAGCTTACTGCTATCCCGGCCGGACTAGAGAACCTACAATGACTAAGCCGGGCACGAAGAACGCGGCCTGACGCACTCACGCTGCGACCTGGCCCGGAGCTAAGCGCGCGCTAGTAGTGGCGGCAATGGGGAGAGCAAAAATGCGGGCGACAGAATCAGCGTGGCAGCTTTTGGGGCGCATCAAAAGTCACTCACGCTGCGACTTGGCCCAGAGCTGCGCGCGCGCGAGTGGCGGGGAGCGCACACTTGCGGGTGATAGAACCATCGCGGCGACGACGGCGGAGAGCAGGCGGAGATGGCTCAGCGGAACCATCCGCGGCTGGCGCGGCATGGGCGGCGGAGGAGGAGGAGGAGGAGGAGGAGGCGGCGACCCGGTGATATCTCGCCCAATGTCGGTACAAAAGAAAACGTACTAACCGTTACTTTCCTAGTTCTACCACGTTGCTCAGCGCGCAGCGGGTGTGCGGTTGGGCGCGAGCGCGGAGGGCCACAATGGAAGTGAGTGAGTTTGTCGGTCCGCGTGCAGGAGCACACACCCCTGTCAGGCCAATCAGGAACCTTGACGGAGTTTAGGGGCTGTGCTAACACAAGTCATTATGCTTCTGGTGGTGCACAATGGTGGGAGCTCGTTTCGTTTTATTGAAGGGAACGCTGGGTGCTGCTGACCGAATGTTCACGCCTCCCGTTTCTTCACTTTGCCTGGATCTCCCACAGCGTACCTAACTATAATCACATGGAAAATTTCGCTTCCCACTCGGAAGCACGGCAGTGTTCACAGGGAAAGCACACATGTCAACGCGTTCACAAACACGATTGGAAAGAAAAATATCGAAGTCTTCGCATGGCCCAAGAAAGGCGGGTAGATTCGTGGAGTCAGGGTCCAGCTTCCATACCCCTGCTGACCTGGCAGGCAAGCGGTCATACTTGCTATTGTAATGTGTTGACTTGGCAGATACTCCTTTTAAACCGGCCCTCTTGTCACAAGAAATCCTTGCGAACTGAGATACCGGTACAATGTTTTCAGCACAAACGTGGAGTATAACTCAATCGTACCAAAATAAAGTTCCAAGCCCCATATTGAAGACCTGGGGGTGTTGCATTGCAGGGGGTCTTGTATCCGCGGTATTATGGTAGCTATGTTGTGTGCCTCCTCTAGAACCACCTCGTTTACTTGGGTCCAATTTAACAATCCCTTGTGGCATGAATACAAGGACACACAAAGACATTCTTACAAAGGCAATAGTAGAGCCGCCTAAAAAAACAGCTGTCCTGATAAGGCAGCGCACACACACACACATTCCTACCAAATCACCTGATTTTGTAAATCCACCACCCTTCATACAGGGCCACAACCCTTCTCATCACTCCCTCACTCTCTCACTGCATTTCCTGCTCTCTCCATCATCTCCTCTCAACCCTATTCTAATCGCATTCGCCACCTCCTCCTCCAGGTTGTGCCCCTGCTTGTCCTCAATCTCCCGGTCAATTCGCCTCGCCATCCGGTTACGGGTGGCACCGCAGACCTCCTCGCGCAGAGCCTCCAATTCAGCAAGCACTTTGATCATGTTGGGGCGGAGGACAGTGGGCATGGCGGTGCAGCTGAGAGCCAGGCGTGCCAGGCGCAGGATCATGTCTGGCGGGGCTTCCAAAGAGGGGTCCTTGAAGGTCACTCCGTCGTTGGCTGCTATGAACGGGGCCACCTGGTGGGGGGAGGGGTGGGAGGTGGAGGGGGAGAGGGGGGAAGAGGAGAGGAGAGGAGGGGAGGGGAGGAGAGGATGGGAGACGGGAGGAGAGGAGGGGAGAGGGGAGGAGAGGAGGGGGAAGGGGAGGAGAGGATGGGAGAGGAAAGGAGGGGAGAGGAGGGGAGGGGGAGGGGGGGGGGGGGAGGGGAGAGGAGAGGAGAGGAGAGGAGAGGAGGGAGATGAGGGAGGAAAGAAACAGGGTGAGTGGGTGACGGTGAGGAATATGGTGCTTTGGCCGATGACGACCGACGGAGGACGCATAGGGATGAGTGGGAGATGGTCGAGTTGCTCGCGTGCACATGCATGCCTACAGGGATGGATGAGAGCGAGAGCTCATGCAAGTGCATGGGCATGGCATGGGCATGGCATGGGCATGGAGATGTGCTGGAGCATGGCATGGGCATGGCATGAGCACAGCAAGAGCGTCATGAGCATGGGCATGTGCAGGAGGAGTAGGAGCAGGGAGGCGAGGGCGGGAGGGCACGGACCCATTGCTTGAGGTTGATCTGGTTGTCGTCCGAGTTGTAGATGGCCTTGCGTGCCGTCAGGATCGTGAGCATCACCACTCCAAAGCTATCAGGGGCGAGGGAGGCATGGGAGGTACGGGGCACGGAAGAGAGACGAACGAATGGTATTCACTTAGTAGACCGAAAAGCACAGCATGCACTGCAAGGACGACACCGGAACACAAGAGTTTTGGGCAGTGTTTCTGACCCGTGCAGTTCTGATTGAGGCGCCTCACACTTGTCTCTGACCCATGCACATCAACCATACCTGTGCACATCAACCATACCTGTGCACATCAACCATACCTGTGCACATCACCCATACCTGTGCACATCACCCATACCTGTGCACATCACCCATACCTGTGCACATCACCCATACCTGTGCACATCACCCATACCTGTGCACATCACCCATACCTGTGCACATCACCCATACCTGTGCACATCACCCATACCTGTGCACATCAGCCTTGGGGGTGGTAAGCCGGGTCCACATAGCCTGGTGTGCCCATCACCCGCGTGGCTCCCACGGTCGTGCCCTCACCCATCCTCACCAGCCCAAAGTCTGCTACCTTTGCCTGCCATGGATGGGACGTGCAGCCAACAAAGAGGAAGCAAGGAGAGAAGTCTACAAGACAAAAGACGCCAACAGCACAGGCAGGTGTGTTTCCCTGGTGCTACCTTTGCTGGGTTCTTCCTTGCTGCCACAGCGCATGAAAGCCGCATCCAGCAGGCATCAGCGAAGCACATGTAGGTATGTTGTGTGCTGGCATGGCATGGCACTGAATGCAAGCGCAAAGATGCTACGAAGCCGTACAGCTCCGTGTGATCACCTGCATGTTGGAGTCCAGCAGGATGTTGGCAGGCTTGATGTCGCGATGCACGATGTCAAAGCTGTGCAAATACTGCAACCCTTCCGCCACTCCGATCATCACATCCAAGCGTTGCAACAGAGAGAGCGGCTGGGCGGCAACTGCAGCGGGGAAGGAAGGAAGGAACAAAAGAGACACGCGGGCATCGCACTGCTTAGTGCCAAGTGCAAAGGTGGGCAGCAGGAGGTGCTCGAGCAGTGGTGACGTCATTGGTGGGAGAGACATGCATTCGGGAAATATATGTCAACGGGAGTTGTGTTTGGCCCCGTCCTCGTTTGGGCGGAGCCGACCTCGTAGTCGGGTATACGGGGGAGTGCAGCCGACCTGCAGCAGTGGGCGAGCTGGTCGACGGGGCAGGTCGACCTGCACGGAGGGCCACTGCAAAGGGCGCCGACTTCTGGGCGCCGAGTTCGGGGTGGTCGACCTGGCGAGGTCGACCTGGCAGGGCGCCGACTTCAGGGCGCCGACCTTGGGTGGTCGACGACTGGGCAAATTCGACGACCCAGCCCCACAGTGGTCAACGGGAGGAGGCCGACCATGTACGGCGTCGACCTGGTTGCCCGGTCTACCGGGATACCCCAGCGACGGACTTCTTCGGAGGCGTGCGAATGTCGTCGGGGTAGCTTCTGCAAGGCCGACCTCGGGAATGGTATCCCGAGGTCGACGTGGCTGGTGGGCGCAGTCGCTGGCGTGGAGTCAACCTGGGCGTCTGCGCTGTGCACGTGACGAGGAGTGGTGCACCAACCAGCTACACGCACCTGCGAAGCAGGTGCACCGTAGTTAGGCGGGTGCAACGTTGGCAAGCCGCTGCTTTGCTGCGCTGGAGCGGTGCGAGCTCTGCTGCGCTGGATCGCGGTCGACCATGCTGCGCTGGAGGTTGACCAGCAGCCTAGCTAGCTCTGATATAGTTTTTGATGCCAACGTTGTTGCTATCATTGTTGTCATGTTTTTTAGTGAAACTCTTGCCAATTTCTCCAGTGAACAAACTAGTAGTGTGTGCACAAAGAAACGACTAAGTAAACGAACACAAAAATCACTCTAGCTCTCGTTGATTAAGTTATCTCCGCAATAAATAACCGAGAATCTTTCCTAGCACATGGACCGCACTTAACATCATGCAACAAACTCGCACACAAATGACTAAACGAGCCTCGCGTAATCTCCAAGTCACCATATGTGAGTACGAAGAGTATGCACTCGTGTTAACTGTACGAGAGGACAAGTGACGACAAGTGTGGACAAGCGAGCCAGCACAAGAGAGGCCATGCTAAGTGAGTGAGTAACACACCAGGGCCGAGCCAGCGTTCGAGGTCGCCGTTGGGCATGAACTCGTAGATGAGGATCTGCTCCGTCTGCTCCGTCGCCTTGTTCACGTCAATGCAGAACCCCAGCAGCCGCACCAGGTGTGGATGGTGCTTCGATGCCATCTCGTTCACCTGCATGCGCACACGGCACAGAGTGGATAGCCATGAGGAGGGCGAGGGAGGAGAGAGGAGCAAGATCAGGAGCGGGAGCGTGAGAAGGAAGCGTGAAGACAGAGTGGTACTGAGAACTTCTCAATCATCAAATGAGGCACCTCGGTACCCCCTCCACACCCCCACCCTGCCCACCTCGCGGCGGAAGTGATTGGTGAGCACTGGGATCGCAGTTGCTAGTCCCATCCACAACCCATGCCTCTCACCTCCCGTCGGAAGTCATTGGTGAGCACTTTGGCGCGCTTGACAGCCCAGAGCGTGGAGGGGTCGGCGGGGTCCTCAGCACGGTACACGTCCCCGAACCCCCCGCTGCCGATCTTGTTGGCCTCCGCCCACATGCCCGTTGCCGCTGCCAGCACGTCCAGCCGGTACTGCCGACACACCGCCGGCCCCGCCGCCTGCGCTGGCCCCGAGGGACCCTTGGACCCACTCGCACTCCCTGTAGAGAGGGGAGGGGGGGATGGTTGGGGATGGGGGGTGCGGGAGAGTGGTGGGTGAGAGGGGTGCGGTGCGGAGGAGTTTTGAGGCGTATGTTGAGCCAGCTCAAGAGATACCAACACCCTTCCAATCCAAGCTCTTGAGATGTCTCAAAAGTGGACTCACAAGTCACCCTTGTCTTGCCATTCAACCTCCTGCTCGGCTGACTCAAGAACAGCCTCTCATATTCCTCTACCTGAGGAAAAGAACCTTTTGAAATGAGGAACCACTCATATAGTGCAGCAGCAGAGTCCTCTAGAACAAAGTGGGCTCGAGCAACACTTGTCCTATCACTCGTATCTACCTGAGGCACCAGCAGCAGCTGAGGCGGATGCAGCTGCTGCTGCTGCTGCTGCAGCAGCGGCGGCATCATCATCAATCTGCGAGAACGGCTTTGGCTGTTTCCGCCTGCGGAAGAAGAGCAGCGGCAGCAGCAGCAGCAGCGCGAGCACGGAAACACCCGCCATGGCAATCCCCGCAATGGCCCCCACTGATAGCCCCGCGGAGGAAGGCGGAGGCGAGGGAGGGGGCGATGGAACGAAGGGAGGCGAGGATGGAGGGGGAGGAGGGGAAGGAGAGGGCTGAGGGGAAGGAGGAGGGGGTGCTGGTGAGCGGGGGGGAGGTGAGATGGGGGGAGCGGGTGGTGGGGGTGAAGGGAGTGGTGGTGGTGGGGAGATTGCTGGAGGGGGGCTGGCTGGTGGTGGGAACTTGAACAATTCTACCAAGTAGTCACGAGGAGGAAGGTGTTGGGGGGAAAGCGGGGGGAGGTAGAGGGGGTGGGGAAGAGTGGGAAGTTGTGTGGGTTATAAAGGAGGAGCATGCGGTGAGTGTGAGATGGAGGATGTGGGCAGGAGAGCGGCATGTGTTGTTGGCAGGTAGAGAAAGGGGAGGATGAAGATGATGGCAAGGAGATTCTTTGAGGCCTCTAAAGAGGCGTTGTCTCATCCCCTGATGAGGGGGAAGGGGGAGCTGAAAAGCTGAGTGCAGGCGCAAAGAAGAAAGGGAAAGAGACGTGTGCAGTTGGGAGATGGGAGGTGTGAGGTGCTTGAGGCGGTACCCAATCCAAGCATGCTGTGTCATGCCATTGGCTCCTGCTCACTCACCCACTCCCCTCTCACCCACTTACCCATTAACTCACTCATTCACTCACTCACTCAATCACACTCACTCAAACCCTCCCTCCCTCACTCACTCATGAGACCCGAAATTGCAGACAAATCAGCGGCAGGCGGCACACTCACTCAGAAAAGGGCATCTGATGCAGAAGTCGGAACAGATCAAGCAGTAAGCCCCAACGTTAGTGCTTGTCACTGCTGCACACTCCACCGCGTCAATTGGCGGGCATGTCACCAGCCCTGGGGGGTCTTATGTGACGTCACTGAGAGTGGAGAGACTGGTGGGAGGAGGGGAGGAGGGGAGGGAGAGGAGGAGGGGAGGAGCAGGAGGAGGGGAGGGGGAGGGAGTGAAGGGGGAGAAGGAAGCGGGGAAGAGAGAGGTATCAGGCAAAATATCTTCTCCGAATTCTGAAAGGCGAGAAGGAAGCGGGAAAGGGAGAGGAGAGGTGTGATGCCGAATTGCTGCCAGAAGCATAAGGCCCTGAAAAATGGAGAAGAAATTGCATGCGCAAGAGAGAAAGGGAGGGTGACTCGGGTGGGTGGGGTTTTTGGAGGTGGGAAGGGCGAGGTGCACATATACGAGTGAGCTTTCGGTACGGCTCTTGAGATAATAATAGTGAAAAAAAAAAATGAGGGATTAAGTGAGGTGCGAGGTGCGTACAGTTTGTGAGTTTTGGAGAGGGACTGCTTTTGAGTAGACTCAAATGCGTACATTTTTGTGAGCTTGGAGAGGGCGAACATGGAGGCAGGTAAGTAGCCGGTGAGATTGTTGTGCAACACATTGCTGCCATGCCGCACGCAGGGTGGAAGCACAGGGAATGAGATGAGAGTGGTGACGCTGGCACCATTGGCACAGGGAGGAGACCGTGGTTGGGTTGGGGCACGGTCAGAAGAACCAGAACCGGGCATTGTCGAAGAAGGGCAGGGGAAGCGATGGATGAGTGTATGTGAAAAGGAGGTCAATACCAGGAGCATGGATGCAGGGTGTGTGACAGGCAAGGAGGCATGGAGGCACGCGGGTAAGCCGGCTTGCATGTATGCATGCGAGAAGTTTGGTAGTGAGGTGAGGACAAGGGGGGAGAATGAAAGGGACAGTTAGTCGGGAGGGACAGGCATGTATGTAGTGGATGTTGGATGAACTGGTGCCTGCCTATAGGAGAGTAAGCATAGCGGGAGAGCATGGATAGGGGAAGAGCGTGCATAGGGGGAAGAGCGTGCATAGGGGGAAGAGCGTGCATAGGGGGAAGAGCGTGCATAGGGGGAAGAGCGTGCATAGGGGGAAGAGCGTGCATAGGGGGAAGAGCGTGCATAGGGGGAAGAGCGTGCATAGGGGGAAGAGCGTGCATAGGGGGAAGAGCGTGCATAGGGGGAAGAGCGTGCATAGGGGGAAGAGCGTGCATAGGGGGAAGAGCGTGCATAGGGGGAAGAGCGTGCATAGGGGGAAGAGCGTGCATAGGGGGAAGAGCGTGCATAGGGGGAAGAGCGTGCATAGGGGGAAGAGCGTGCATAGGGGGAAGAGCGTGCATAGGGGGAAGAGCGTGCATAGTGGGAAGAGCGTGCATAGGGGGAAGAGCGTGCATAGGGGGAAGAGCGTGCATAGGGGGAAGAGCGTGCATAGGGGGAAGAGCGTGCATAGGGGGAAGAGCGTGCATAGGGGGAAGAGCGTGCATAGGGGGAAGAGCTAGGGGGAAGAGCGTGCATAGGGGGAAGAGCGTGCATAGGGGGAAGAGCGTGCATAGGGGGAAGAGCGTGCATAGGGAGAGCGTGTCTAGAGGGAGAGCATGGCTAGAGGGAGAGCATGGCTAGAGGGAGAGCATGGCTAGAGGGAGAGCATGGCTAGAGGGAGAGCATGGCTAGAGGGAGAGCATGGCTAGAGGGAGAGCATGGCTAGAGGGAGAGCATGGCTAGAGGGAGAGCATGGCTAGAGGGAGAGCATGGCTAGAGGGAGAGCATGGCTAGAGGGAGAGCATGGCTAGAGGGAGAGCATGGCTAGAGGGAGAGCATGGCTAGAGGGAGAGCATGGCTAGAGGGAGAGCATGGCTAGAGGGAGAGCATGGCTAGAGGGAGAGCATGGCTAGAGGGAGAGCATGGCTAGAGGGAGAGCATGGCTAGAGGGAGAGCATGGCTAGAGGGAGAGCATGGCTAGAGGGAGAGCATGGCTAGAGGGAGAATCTCAGAAGCCGGGCCCAGGGGTGGGTTGTGGCAGCACTGACAAGGTGGTGAGGTTGACGAGGCTGCGTACTGTTGTCGGTATTTCACCCGTTAGCTTGTTGCTCGATACGTCACTGCCATTGCACCCATGCAATGTGCGACATGACACATGCCAAATACCATATGCCACATTCCCCATGCCCCATGCCACATGCCCCATGCCACATGCGCATGCCACATGCCTCATGCCCCATGCCACATGCCCCATGGCATCCAATGAGCCAATCCAGCATTGCAGGGGCCCACATCAGACAGGCGTGTCAGGGAACACGAGTTTTAAAAAGCGAACCGAGGGAAGGGATATGTTGGCGACGAGACTGGAGACAGAGGCCGTGCGAGTGGGTAGAAACAGCGGAGCAGAGTGTAGGCCACTAAGCGAAGCGAGATTGGAGAGGCAGCATGGGTATGTGGTCAGATAGTCCAGGCGATGGGGTAGGAAAAGGGTGAGGATGGTAAATAGGAATGAAGGGACACACAAGGAGTGTGAGTAATGATGGTGAGCACCAGAGCCTCGAGAGCCTCGAGTAGGTGAGGTGACTCATAAGTCAGCTCGAACGATGGTGAGGGGCAGAGCCTTGAGAAGGCGGTTCTTGAGAAGTCTGAAAAAAAAAAAAACACCTGCAGCCTCGAGCACGCGCGCGCATGCCTGTGGACCACAATAGACGTGTGCATGGCAAGTATGTGCATGCGAGTCTGTATGTGCGTGTCAATACATGCGCATCTGCATGAGCATGTGCATAGGCATGGGCATGGGCATGGAAATGTGCACAGCACGACTGACAAGTGGTTGAGTGACTGCAGCAGCCCAATGGCCGTGGGAACGGATCCCGTGAACTGGTTGTACTGAATCGCTCTGCGGACCACAAGGGGTGCACGCATGGGCAGTGAGAGAAAGGGGTGGTGCACGGAGAGGGATGTACGGCCAAGAACCCGATGCTCGCTCTTGTTGCTTCTGCCCTTTCAATAAGAGGCAGACCGATATTGAGAGCATGACACAGCGCACCAATGCATGGGTGGAAATAGGGATGGCAGCATGGGTGGCAGCATGGGTGGCAGCATGGGTGGCAGCATGGGTGGCAGCATGGGTGGCAGCATGGGTGGCAGCATGGGTGGTAGCATGACTCACATCTGCTCCACAGCGGTAAATCTGGTGATCACATCCATTGACCCATTCAGCTGATTATTCCACATGTAGCTGTATGGGAGGGAGCAATTGAGACAGCAGTCAGGTAGGGCGCGGGGGAGGAGAAGGTGGGGAAGGATGGCGAGGGGTGGGAAGGGTGAGAAAGAGTAAGGGGGTGAGGGAGTTGTAAGGGAGGCAACGCAAAGTGTTTCATTATCCTGTTGCTGAATAGGGAGTGATGCAGAGAGTGGAGGCGCAGAGAGATGAGGAGCAGAGGGAGGAGGAGCAGAGGGAGGAGGAGCAACGCACAAGCCTTGCAGGTTGACGAGGTTGGAGAAGGAAGCAGGTATGGAGCCGGTGAGCTGATTGCCGCCCAGCTGACTGATGCTCGTGGAGGGGAGCGAGGAGATGGTGTGTGTGGAGAGGGAGGAAAGATTGGAGTGACAAGAAGAGGAAGGTTTATTAGGCAATGACTGCTAAGAAAAAAAAAAAAAAAAAAAAAAAAAGGCGCTTCTGGCAGACACAAGGGGGTTTTCTCTCTTTTTTTTTGCAAACCCAGAGTGAGGTGACTTGTAAGACGAACCAATAGTCATGTTTGGCTCTGCTGGCTGGTGAAGGTGCTTAAAATGTCTCAAAACTCATACACGTTCCACCACTGGTAGCTTACATGACGGTGAAACCGCCGAGGCGACCCAGAATGGCAGGGATGCTGCCTTGAAGGGCGTTCTCACGCACAGCGCTGCAGGGCGATGGGTGCGGCGGTGGGTGCGGCGATGGGTGGGGCGTTGGGTGCGGCGGTGGGTGGGGCGGTGGGTGGGGCGATGGGTGCGGCAATGGGTGTGGGGAAACAAGGGGATTGTGGAACTTTGAGTCATGAGCCGGGCGAGCGTCAGGTAATGAGTTTGCTGTTATAGTCACAATAGGCTTGAATGTGCCTAAAACGAAAGATAGAGAGCATCAGTCTTCTCAAGAACCGCCTTCTCAAGGCGGTTCTCAGCAAAAGCAGGAGTAGGAGCAGCAGCAGCAGCAGCAGCAGCAGCAACAGGAGAAGGAGCAGCAGCATGAGCAGGAGCAGCAGCAGCAACAGCAACAACACCAAGCAGCAGCAGCAGCGGCAGCAGCAGCAGCAGCAGCAGCAGTAGGAGTAGCAGCAGGACCAGCAGCAGCAGCAGCAGCCGCCGCCGCAGCAGCCACCGCCACCGCCGCCGCAGCAGCAGCCCTAGCCGTAGCCGCCACTTTTGCAGCAGCTGTTCCCTCCAGTGAGTGGCCTTCAAGCCCTTGGTCTTCCTTCCTCTCCTCCTGTCCACTCAGAGTCCCCTACTGCGTAGGGTCCTACGTTTCCTCCTCCGGACTCGGCTCCAACTGTTTTCTCTCCTCCTCCGTCACAGTCGTCTCCTCTTGTTGTCCCGCACGACTGGACCAGTTGTTGTCCTCCACGTGCTCGTCCCTCGTCTCCTTTTGACGACCTCTGCACTGTCTTGCTTCGTTCTAGTCCTCGTCGTGCTCCGCCTGTGTCTGTTCTCCCCTCACCTCCTGAGTCATCTCTCGCTGTCTCATCTCGCCCTATCACTGGCTACTACCGTTCTGCTCGCCCTGTTGTCACACGTGTTCTCGCCTCTCTTGTCACAGACCCTCGTGCCTCTCTGTCGTCTGTCTGGGCTCTAACTGCCGCTGTCGCTCACTTTGCTTCCACCCGCCGTCTTGACTACGCCACGCATATGGTGGCTGCTTCATCTCCCCGTCCTCTGTCCATCGGGGGTGAGTCTGCCTTTGGCTGTGACGTCCTAGAGGACAGGCAGTTTGAACTGGAGTTCTTGGCAGCCGCTTCCCCCTCTCTCTGCGCCATGTTGGTCTCCCCTGAGGGAGACCCCGGCGCCCTTGACATTCCGACTCCTCGCATGTACCGTGAGGCAATGTCAGGGGAGTGGGCCTCTTAGTGGAAAATGGCTATGGACTCAGAGTTAGCGTCTTGGAGATCCACAGGCACATACGTCGACGCAGTTCCCCCTCCCAGGGCGAACGTTGTCGATAGCATGTGGCTCTTCAAGCAGTCGCTTGGATCACCGCCTGTGTTCAAGGCACGCAACGTGGCTAGGGGTTTCAGTCAGCGTGAGGTAGTTGACTTCTTCCAGACCTTCGCCGCGACCCGGAAGATGACGACTCTTCGGGTGTTACTGCACATAGCAGCACACCGAGACTACGAGCTGCACTCCCTCGACTTCTCCACTGCTTTTCTCCAGGGCCGCCCACACGAGGAGATCTCTGGCTGCGGCGTCCTCCTGGCTTCACTAACACCTTCCCACCTCGGACCCAGTGGAGCCTGAGGCGACCAGTCTACGGTCTCCGCCAGTCGCCCCGTGAGTGGCACAACATTCTTCGCTCCACGCTTCGTGACCTTGGATTTCGCCTTTCCTCTGCTGACCCATCGCTGTTTGTTTGCGCTGGTTCCTCTCCTTTCTTTATAGTAATTTACGTCGACGACTTGGTCTTTATACAGCAGACAGGGCAGCTCTAGCTGAGGTGAAGTCCGAACTGCGGAAGAGACACACGTGCACTGACTTCGGTGAACTGCAGCACTACCTTGGCCGGCAGATCACCAAGGACAGAGCCGCTCACAACATCACACTGACTCAGTCACACATAGTGCAGCAGGTCCTTCGGCGTTCGGGTTTCAGTTCTCCACCACACAGCCCAGTCCTCTTGCCGTTCACCACCGACTGACTGGCCCTTTTCCTGACGAGCCCTTTGAGTCAAGTGGTCCCTACGCAGAGCTTGTGCGTTGCCTCATATACCTGATGACTTGTACTCGGCCGGACCTCGCCTTTCCCCTCAGCGTCCTCTCTCGCTTTGTTGCGACTGGGAAACACCGTCCTGTTAACTGGATAGCTGCTATGAGGGTGGCGAAGCACCTAGCGACTACATCAGGCATGGGGCTTGTGCTTGGAGGGACACAGCCAGTTGTGTTGACCAGTCACTGCGACTCTTCCTACGCTGACGACGTGGGGACTCAGCGCTCGACTCAGGGTTACTGCTTCAGTCTGGATGTTGGTGCTGTGTCGTGGAGGTCTACACGGTCGTCGTCTGTGGCTTCGTCCAATGCAGAGGCAGAGATCTACGCTGGTGCCATGGCGGCACAGGAGCTTCACTGGTTGACCTGTTGGGCGACCTTGGTGGGCGGACTTGCTCACCGACCTTGGTGGGCGGCCTCGCTCTGCACCGACCTTGTACGCTGACAACAAGGCCATGATCCTCCTGTGTCGAGAGCTTCGACTGGAGAGCATAGTGAAGCATATTGACGTGAGGTACTTTCTCCTGCAAGAGCTACCGTCATCACCCGGATATAAGACAGTGTTGAATAGTAGACAGGGGTTGTCTACTATACGGGTGTCTCTTATAAACAGGCTAGCCTCATTATAAGACACCTATTTGTGTGTATGAGATAAGACATATATGTCTTATAATCGAAACTTCAATAAATTATAGCGAAAGTTGAAGTACCGCGTACTTTTTTACCCTTGCGAAGCGCGAATTCTTCCACGCGCTGACCCAGGACCTACCAAATTTGCCCCTGCAGGTGTTCTCCATAACGTGGCGTCTCGGGCAGAGGTTATCGAAGTGGCACCTTCGCAACATCCACACGCATTATGAGAAACTCTTTTTAAAGAAGTACGGAAAATATTTCTAAGTAGATTAAAAAGTTTCCATTTATAAGACTTATAAGACACCCTAAACCATCCCGTTTACAAGATAACTCCAGCATTTTTGCCCGTGTACGAGATAAGACATATATGTCTTATATCCGGGCGATGACGGTATAGCGACGTAACCAGGCACGCTTGGACTTTGTGGCAACAGAGGCCAACATTGCCGACGTCTTCACCAAGGCCTTGGCGCCTGGTGACCACCACAGGTTCTGTGTGCAGCTAGGGCTTGTTGAGATAGGCCCACGGTTGCTGTAGTGTTGCTCTTGTTGCGTGTTCTGCTTGTCATTGCCTTTATATATATTGTGCTCTCTTGAACTGGCCTTGTGGCCGCTTGCTTGTGCTTGGAATTCGTGTGGTGTCTTTGAGTTTCACCCCCAGCTTCTGCCAAGCTACATAAAAGCTGTAGGATATGCGATCTGGCATAAAGGCCTGCCTTGCTCCCTCCATCGCATGCCCTGTTCTGAACACACCATCAAGACAGCACGAAGGCGCAATAGGACAACCCATGCATGCATGGATACATACATACGTCATGCGCAGCTACCCAGTGCCAACCATGAAAAACAACCATGGCCATAACACAAACCCACAAGGCTGCTACGTGCCAGGTGGCATATCCAAACAAACAGAGAGAGGATCAGGCGGGAGCAGCGAGCTTGGCGTCGGCGTCTCTAAGAGCGCGGGAGAGGTGCAGCACTCGGTACTTGAGCTTCGCATTCTCCTCACTCAGCTGCGCTGCCTGCGCCTGCGCCTGCTCACACAGATATTTGCAGGAGGAACGGGCGGTGTGGGGAAAGGGCAATGTAGGGGAAGGGAGTGGGGGGTGGGGTGGGGAGCCAGGGGGGAAGGGTGCGAGAAGGAATATGAGGGGTGTCCAAGGTAGAAAGGAGACAGGCGACCTGCGAAGGGATATGAGGGATTGGCATTGGTGCATCCAAACAGGCAGCTGCGAAGGTGTTTCGAGTCGACTCGATGAGTCGAGTCGACTCAAGACATGCGAAGGGATATGATGGGTTGGCATTGGTGCCGCCAAGGCAGCTGGTGAAGCGGCAGAGTGAAAGGGAAACCGCATCAGAGGGAGATCAATCCTTATGACGTCATTCCGGCCTGCTGCACGTGCGTCGCCTCGACCCCCCCACCCCTCCCCCTCTCCCCCCACATCACGCCCCTGCCAAACCACCCACCCACCTGCGCGCTGTCCTGCACGGCCTGCTGCACATGCGTCGACTCAAAACCCCCCACTCTCCCCAACCCCCACGTACGTCACGCCCCGCCCCTCCCAACCCACCCACCCACCTGCGCGCTGTCCTGCACAGCCTGCTGCACGTGCGTCCTGGCTCCCACCAGCGCCGCCTTTACTGCTTCCAGCGACGCTGCCAGCGCTGCTTTCTCGTCCCCCACCAGCGCCGACGACCCTGGCGCCACGGTGGGGTGCGGTGATGCGCGGTGGGGTGCGGTGATGCGCGGTGGGGTGCGGTGCAGAGAGGAGGATGGGTTGAGGGGAGATGGGGTGTACGGCCGCAACAAGGGAGGGAGAACGGAGAGACAGAAGGTGCAGGCGTATAACATGACATGACATGGCATGGCATGGCATGGCATGTCGATAGCTCTGTCCGTTCTTGCTTCAGTGGCGTGAGAGATGGTTAACTACGAGCCAGTTAGTTTCTGAGATTTCTCAAGAACCAGCCAGGCAGTGCAGCCAACATCATGCGCTCATCATCAACCGGTTGGTTCCCTCCCAGTGCAGTGCAGAAAATCCTTCCACTCTTCCAGTGAGCTCAAGCTCTTCCTCTCTTCCACTCTTCCAGTGAGCTCAAGCTCTTCCTCTCTTCCACTCTTCCAGTGAGCTCAAGCTCTTCCTCTCTTCCACTCTTCCAGTGAGCTCTCGCGTTTCCATGTTCACCTTCAAACGACTCCGGAAGGGCAGGCGAAGAGGGCAAGATGGAGAGCGAGAGCGAGGGAGAGCGAGAGTAAGGGGGAGAGAGAAAAGAGGACTTGGGGTGAGTAGGTACTCACCTAGTGATCCCACCATTGCCTCCAGCTTAGCCAGCCGCTCCTGAAGCTCCCAGGATCGTGCGGCGGGGGGGAAGAAGAGGGGGTGGGGGAAGGAAATGTGGGGGGAGGGAGGGGGAGAGGAGGGGAAGAGCGGAGGTAGACCACGATTGGTGAAATCGAAAAGCAAACACGGGGAGAGAGTACAAGGAATAAAACCTTTTGAAGATCTACATTCACGAGCGTTCACGGCCGCAGTACCTCCGCTTTCGCCGCGCGCTCCTCGTATGGTCGAAGCTCTGCGGAGAGATCCGCCATGGATTCGTCCCAATCGTTCGGTCGCACGAGTCTCTTAATTCGTCGTCGGGTCAAGTCGCACAGGTTCGCCGAGCGACAACGCCCTCCCGCCGTCTAGGCAGCAAACAATGCCCTTGGCGAACAAGGATTCAGCACCTGACCGACGACCGGCTAAGGAGCGCGAATCTGGCAGGGACGAGACCGCACTTGGCTCACCAAATCCTAATGAGAGCGATTACAGGCGAAGGCTCCGTGACTCACGCGGGACTGAAGGAAGGTGTATGCTTCACGGGGAGAAAAACGGCTCTGGCGAAGCGCGGCTGTGAAGGGTGAGGTGAGCGTCAGATCCATTTCTATGGTGTAGGAGGTGACGATGCGTTGTACGCGGTTTAGAGTGGTCTATTACACGCGGAAGGCAGGCACACATTCCGCACTCTCTTGGGATTAGCTCCTTTGGTTCCAAAATGTCTACAGTCAAGGCAAATTTACAAGGACTACATAACAGAAAATATACAAATCTACTAGGCCTATCCGCACCTAAGCCAACTGCACACCAACACGCCCTAAACACTACGCAAAGTACAATATGTATACAGCACTAAGCATATCAAAACATCATGTCAGCCAGTTGAAGGTTTTGCACAACAAGAACCACTGTCCCACTACCACCACCACTAGACCCCCTCCCACGTGCCCCACGACCACCAAAGCTCGTTTTCCATCCCACATCACTCCCATCCTCGCAATCACCATCACTCCCCTCCTCTTCCTCTTCCTCCTCTTCCTCCTCCTCATTCCCCATTCCTGGAGGCCCTGGGAGCACGGAGACAGCCACATGCACCTCGTGGCCATGGGCATCCTGTAAGGACGCGAGCAGGGGCTCTCCCAGAACCTGCTCCACTGGCGCTTGCTCCTGCTTGCTTGACCCACCGCTGCACAGGTCCATGGCTGTGAGAATCAGCGCCTGGATAGGTTGAGAAGGGGGGGTGTTGGTGGGGGGGGGGGGGAGAGGCAGGGATGGCACGGGCATGGGGAGAGGGATGGGAGGAGCTCAGTATGGAAGGTGGTTCGGAAGGAAGATGCATGCAACGATGGGGAAGGACGGGGTTTGGAGGGGATGTGGATGGTGGAACAAAAGCGTGCGAAGGGGGGGTGAGGTTGAGGAAAGGAGGGTAAGAATGCTCCATAGGACCGAGTTTTAAAGAGCATGAAGTGGAAAATGCTGTGGTGCGACGCTCTCGCACTTCCTCTCTCTCTGTGCGTCTCTGTCTCGTACCATAAGAGCAGGCCATGTTTCCTCTCGGTGCCGTGGGTGCAGCAGAGTGACCAGCGGCAGCGCCTCATACTCTGCCGACAATCCCGCCTCCAGCTGATGCACCAACCCACGCTCCGCCCCTGCTGCTGCCACATCTGCCGCAGCAGCCGCAGAAGCAGCGGAGTGACTGGCCTGGGGGAAGAGCAGTGCAGCCGGGGAGGGAGGAGGGCGAGCGGCCGATCCAAGCATGCGGAGGAGAGCAGTGTTGCAGCGCCCGATGCGGGGGGTTGCGGAGGAGGAAGGAGAGGAGGGGGAGGATGGGGAGGAGGAGCAGCGCACGGTGAGCAGACCGATGCCTGCCACGTCCAATAGGCAGCTGCGAGGAGGGGAGAGATGTGGGGAGGGGAGAGATGTAAGGAGGGGAGAAATGTGGGGAGGGGAGAGACGAGGGGAGGGGAGAGATGAGGGGAAAGGAGAGGGAGAGTAGGGGGAGCAGTGGGGATGAAGACAGAACAAGGAGGGCAGTGCAGTGTGTAGCTTATCCTTGCAATTTCTGAGACTCGTAAAGAAGCGTAGTGCATTAGAGGTGGCATTTCCTTCCTTCCACACCACACTCTATTATAGACACATATACGCTCACACTCGCGCGATTACTCGCCAACACGAACGAGCATTTCCTGCATTTGCTCTTTCCCTCTCTCCCTCTCACCCACCCACCCACGACACGCCCAGTGACGGCCATCACGCACGTACCGGTGCCACGGCAGCCAGAGGGCTTGAAGAGACGGCACCAAGTGGGCAGCGGAGTGGCGAGAGTGGATCGCAGGCGAGCCGGCAGATAGGGGTAGAGGCCCAGGCGCAGCATAGGTAGGCTGATGAACGCTGCTCACCACCCCTGCACTTTCCCCACTGTCCTCCCCACTGTGCCTGCTGCCCCTGCTGTCCCCGCTTACCCCAGTGCTGTGTGCAGCATGGGGGGTCCTGTCACTGTCGTCATGCACTATCACACTCCCACATATGACGCTCTCTTCATCCTCATCCTCTTCCCTTCTCCCATATGCTATAGGCAACCTTGACACACCATCCATCTCCTCCTCCTCCTCCTCCTCCTCCTCCTCCTCTTCTCCTCCCATCTCGACCTCCCCGTCCTTCTCCTCTCGAGCCATCTCCTCATCGCTATCCGTCTCCTCCTTTCCATTCCCCTCCCCCTCTACCTCGCTTACCCCTGCCTCATCCGCCCTGCCTTCCTCCTTGTATCCCGTGTTCTCCCCATCACTGTCCTCCTCTGCTCGCTTCCTATCCTTCTCCTCCTCCCCCTCCTCCCTCTCTTCCCGTTCCTCCCTCTCCTCCCTCTCCTCCTTTTCCTCTCGCTCCTCCCTCTCCTCCCTCTCCTCCCTCTCTTCCCAATCATGCTTCTCCTCCCTTTCTTCCCACACCTCCCTCTCCTCGCAATCCTCCATATGCTCCCTCTCCTCCCACTTCTCCCCCTCCTCCTTTTCCTCCTCCCCCCACCTTCCCCTCATCATGTCATGGCCCATGCCCTCCGCATCCTCATCCATGTGTGCACTCCCCCTAACATCACCATCACCATCATTCTCCCACCCACCACCACCACCATCACCATAACCATCAGCATCAGCATCAGGCATGAGTCTGCTTGAATGCCCATCGCTGTCATCATGAGAATCCGCGTGGGAACTCGCATGGCAGGAAGCCAGGCTGGCATGTGCATGGGGGTTGCTGAGGGCCTTGGCGTCTCCTTCTCTCCACTCCTCGCCTCTCACCATTACCATCCCGCTGCCCTCATCAACCTCCTCCTGCTCATGACCCACCTCTTGACTCTCAAATTCACCATCACCATGCCAAATCCCATGCCCATCACCATCATGCACCCCACCCTCCCCACCACCCTCCTCATCACCATCACCAGCACCATCATCATCATCATCATCATCATCATCATCATCATCATCATCATCATCATCATCATCATCATCATCATCATCATCATCATCATCATCATCATCATCATCATCATCATCATCATCATCATCATCATCATCATCATCATCATCATCATCATCATCATCACTAACTGCATCAAAACCATGCCTGTCCTCCCCTCCTTTCGCCTTGCTCCCAAACCTCCCCTCTTCATACACCTCTCCATGCCCTTCGCATCCGCACTCTTCCTCACCATCCACCACCACCACTCCATTCTTCGCCTTCCATGTACCCTCCCCACCACCTTCTCCTCTGCACCAGCTATCCTCCTCCCTTATCTTCTCATCCTCCCCCTCCTCCTCCTCCCCTTCCAAGTTGCTTACCACCATCTCCTCTTCCCCCTGCTCCTCCACCCCTTCGTCCTCCTCCCTTACTACCCTCTTCCCCTCCACTTGCTCTTCCCCTTGTTCCTCTTCTTCCTCCTCCTCCCTTTCCTCCTCCTCCTCCCCTTCCTCCGCCTCCCCTTCCTCCTCCTCCCCCTCCTCCTCCTCCTCCTCCTCCTCGCCTTCCTCCTCCTCATCGTCCCTTCTCTCATCCTCCTCCTCGGCCATCCCCGCCCATGCATGGTCCATCGTATCAGCACTCTCTCCCCTCACCACACCTCCACCAGCCACCAAAACTTGCCGTTTCTCACTTCCCCCCACCTCCTCTTTCCTTTCCTCCGCCCGTAACTTTCCTTCTCTCTCTCTCCACACATGAACCCCACCTCTTGGCCCTCCTTCACGTTCCTTCCCCCTCTCCATTTCGTGAATCTGCATCTCCTGTTCTCCTTGCCCTTCCCCCTCCCCTTCTCCTTCTCCTTCCCCTACCCCTTGCCCTTCTCCTTCCCCTTCCCTTTCCCCTTCCTCTTCTGCTTCCCAAGGCACATCCCCCTCCTTCGCTTCCTTCCCATCTGCCACCTCTTCTCTCCACGACTCAACCTCCCTGTTGCCCCTACTGTGTTCACCACCACCCTCCTTGCTCACCAGTCCCTCAGAACCACCTGACCTTTTGCCTCCCGTTTCCTCTCCGCCGTCTTCCTCCTCCTCGTCCTCTATTTCTTTCCAGGAGTCCTTCCATCTACCCACCCCCCTAGGGTACTCTGCTATCCCTTCATCTCTCCCCTCCTCCTCCCCAGCCTCCTCCTGCTCATACTCGCCATTCCCACCCATCTTTTCCTCCTCCTCCTCCTCCTGCTCTTCCTCCTCCCACTCTCCTCCTTTTGCCATATTCCGCTCACTCAAGACAACCCGCTTACTGCCTCTGACCTCGTCTCTGGCTCCTTCGTCTTCTACTCCTCCAGGGTGTTTATGAGAATTCTCAAAAACACACTCGTCTCTGGCTCCTTCCTCGTCTTCTCCTCCTCCTCCATTTGGGATCGTTTTCAACCCCGCTCTCCCCTCGCTACCATGCCATTCATCCCCATTCTGCTCCTGCTCCTCGTGTCCTCCTTCCCCTCCTTCCTCTCGCTCCCCTCCTTCCCCTCCTTGTCTCTCCCCTTCCTCCACCTCTTCTTGCACCGCAGGAACACCAACTTTATCCTTCTTTTTTCCCAATTTTCTTTTTCCCTTTTCCTTCCCAGAATTGCCCTTCTTGAGTTTCTTCTTCACGTCCTTAGGCATCTGCACTCCCACATCAGCTTCAGCTCCATTCCTCCGCACCTCTGCCTCATACCACCGCTGCTGCTCCCCCGCCTGTTCATGCTCCCACTGCTGCTCCTCCCCCACCCCTTCGTGCTGCCAATGCTGCTCCTGCTGTGACTGCACCTGCTGCTGCTGCCGCTGCACCTGCTGCTGATGGCTCTGCCCCATCCATTCCTCACCTTCATCCCTTCCCTCCTCTACCTCCCATCCAACTCTCCCCCATTTCTCCTCTTCTTCCGGCCCTCTAACCCTCCTCTGCCCTCCTTTCCTCCCCACACTGCCCCCACCTCTCCCTATCGGCCTCTCCCTCCCTACTCCCTGCTCACTCCCCTGCCACACCACACCAAGCTCTTCCATACTCCCCCGCCTCCCTGTCCCCGCGCCTGCTCCTCTCCCCTGCCTAACCTGCCCCGAAACCGGCAACGGCTGAGCGGGAGCGCGCATAAGAGCTCGGGGCGATTTCTGGGACGCCCCATATAGATGAGGCAGCGTGGAGGGAGCATGCAGAAGCTCGCTGGGAGAGAGCAAAGGCAGAGCCACCACTGCAGTCTCGTCTGACTCATGGCTCTGAATAGAGAGGTCCTTTGCTAGCCCTCGCACTCCCACTCCCACTCCCACCCCCCCGGCAACCGCCCGGTACTCACCCACCCCTTCCTCATCAATGCATTCGAACCCCTCGTCCTCTTCCCCTTCCTCTTCCCGTTCCCCCTCTTCTTCCTCCTCCCCTTCCTCTTCCGCGTCCTCCTCCCCGTGCTCCTCCCCTTCCTCCTCCTCTTCTTCCACCACTCGCACTCCTCCCAACCCCCCACCGTTCTCCCAAGCCTGCTGCTGCTGCCTCCCTCGGGTATCACCCAGCCTACTGCGAGGGGAGGGCTTATCCAGGGAAGGAGTAGAGGAGTAGAGCATAGAGGGCGAGGCAGGCCCACTCAGGAACGCGCCGCGGGGGGAGGGGCCACGTGGGGAAGGTCCCACTGGTGATGGCACCTGAATATTCACCTGAGGAATCACCTGGCCTGAGGGAGACCTGGGATACGCCTGTCTGGCAGACAATAGCGCCGTCCCAGGTTCTGCTGCGCCTGCTGCTCCTGCTGCCATGGCTGCTGGTGCTGCTGGAATGGGTCTGTGCGCGGTGCCCATGCCTAGTGCAGCAGGGCCCCCCCCAGTCCCAGGCATACCAGCAAAGCCAGTGCCACCTCGGAGTGACCGTGCACCTGCTCCCGACAGCATGCCTCGCTGCTGCTGCTGCTGCTGGGGATGGAATTGTTGTGGCTGTGGCTGCTGCATGTGCGGGCGCTGCTGGTAAGAGGAGCCAGGGGAATCCGGTGCTCCTTGCTCTTGCAGCACCTGCTCCTGCACCTGCAGCTGCTTCGGACGACCCCGCGGCAGCGAGAGCGGAGGCGGGGAGGCGATGCCAGGCCCCGCTGCTTGGGACGAGCGGCTGTACTCTTGCGGATGGTACTGCCCCTGCTGCTGGTATGCGTTCTGCTTCTGCTGAAGCTGCTGCTCCTGGTACTGCTCCTGATACTGCTGCTGATACTGCTGCTGCTGCTGGTGCTGCTGCTGCTGCTGCTGCTCATATGGCTGCGGTTGAAAGTGCTGATGCTGTTGATGCTGCTGAGTGGGTGGGGGTGGAAGCTGCTGCTGCCGCTGCTGCTGAGGGTGCTGCTGATTGCCTCCCATACCTTGCCAGTCTCCACCCGTCCCGTCGTCCTCCCCTTCCCCGTCCCCATGTTCACTCATAGAGCTCGCCGTTTTCCGCTCCGAGTTAAGCCTCTGCAGGATTCGCTGCGCCTGGGCTTTCTTCTGCTGCCCCTTCCACTCCAGTTTCACCTGCTCCTCCTGCGCTCGCTGCTGCTCCTTCACCTGCAACCACTGCGACTGCTGCTGGTGGTGGTGATGGTGATGGTGATGATGATGATCCTGATGCTGCTGATTAACCGCCGAGTCCCTCCCTCCCACCGCACCCCCCCGGCCCCGTCCCGCCCCGCCCCACTGCCTGCTGCCAGTTGTCTCCTGCACTGTGAACGTGGTGCCCTCAGAAGGGGCGGTACGGGAGCGCCAACTCATGCCCCGCGGCGTGCTGTTCCCACTGGACGCATTAGACGACGCCCCTACGCTCCCCTGCGTCCCACCAACCCCCCCAGGTCCGCCCATACCGCCCATACCGCCCATGCGCCCGCTTGTCCCTGTAAAGCTCTTATTCCGTTCCAGAGTTAGCGGTTCCTCCCATTCCTCCTCCTCTGCCCACTCTCCCACTCCTCCCCCTCCCCAGCCTCCCCCGCCTCCTCCGCCTCCCCCCCCTCCTCCGCGCCCTCCCCCTCCCCCGGCTCCGCCCCCGCCCCCGCCCCCGCTCCTTCCACCACCCCCTCCGCGAAAGCTCCTCGCCCCCACTCCTCCAAGCCGCGGGGAGGGCGCTACACCTCGGGGGGACGATCCCGCGTGATAATACTGTTGCGCCCGCCCCCCTTCCCCCCCTTCCCCCTCCCCCCCCCCTCCTCCTCCTCCGCCCCAGCTGTCTACCCCCTCCATGCGCCCACGCGGAGTCTTCCCCCCGCCTCCGCCTCCCCCTCGTTCAGCCCTGCTGCGGCTCTTTTCCAGTTTTGGCACTGGCGACCCGCTTCCCCCTCCCGCTCCCCCTGCACTTCCCCCTCCGCCTGCGCCCGACCTCTTAGTGCTGCTACTGGTGCTCCTCGTTCCCCTGGGACTGTCGCACGCATCGGCGGAATCCCCAGGGACCATCACCACCATGTGTTCAAACTTTTTGCTTTTTGAACCCAGTCCAAACAAACTCTTGGCTAAGCTTCCTCCTCCTCCGCCTGCTCCTGCTTCTTCCGCTGCTTGTGCAGGCCCTCCGCGTTCCTCCCGCCCCCCTTTTCCCCCGCGTTCCGCGTCCCCGCGGATCCTCATGCTTGCGGAGCCGACCCCACCCAGCTTACCCCCATGCGCCGCTCCCGCTTCCGCCGCTCCGCGCCTTCCTCGCTCTCTTTCCCTCGCTTGCCCGCCGTAGTCCCCTGCGTCGCTCCCGCCGCCGCCTCTTCCGCCGTGTTCCCCTGCGAAGGTGACGCGAGACGCGCCTTGCTTGCCGCCGAGCGACGAGGGCGAGTGGGCGAGCGTGTGAGAGTGCGACAACGACGGCGCCTGCTGCGACGACATCGTCTCCGCGCGCGACAGCGTTTTCGAGTGCGACAGGCCCGCGCGCGGAGTGGTCGGCGCAACAGGCTTCTCCCCGCCTCCGCCTCCGCCTCCGCCGCCAGGAGAGTTCGGCGGAATCGGCGCAATGTGAACGCGCACGGCCTTGGAGTTGGGAACGAGCTCTTGCAACTCGCAGTCCACGCGGCGACCGGAGAGCGCGCCACTCCCTCCGCCGTTTCCGCCGCGGTGGTTACTCGGCTGGACCAAGCGGAAGCGGACGACAACCCGCGGCCTGTCTTTTGCGCTCATGCCTTCTACCGCGCGGACCCATTCCGCCGGGTTCAGTTTCTCCGCCAAGTCGAACAACGACGCGCGCAGAAGCTCCTCCCGCTCCATGCCCACCGCCCAGCACGCCTCCTCGTCCGCGGAAACCACCCGCGCCGTCCGCTGGGTGACCACCAGACCGAACCCGCTGCCGCCGCCAGCGGCGCTGCCGCCGCGGCCACCGTGGCCGGCTCTGGGAGTAGAAGCACTGTTACTAGTGCTACTGCCGCCAGCGCCGCCGCCGGAAAGGTCGCGGCCGCTTGCGCCGCCAGGCGGGGGAAAGTCCGCCGAGGTGGTGTCCGCGGTGCTGTGTTTCGGTAACCCGCGGGGAGTCCTCGCCACGCCGCTGCTAGTACTAGCATTGCTATTTTGCCGCCGATGCTGGCTCGCTCCGTTTCCGCTCCCGCTTCCGGTTCCTAGGCTGCTGCTGTTGATGAAGGCACCTGACGTGGCATCACGCGCCTCGTCCGCATCGGATTGTTTCGGATGCGGCCCGCCGCCGCTCGCGGTGGTACCACCACTCCGGCCGCCGCCGTCGCCGCCGCTGGCGCCGCCGTGAGAGTAGTAACGTCGAGAAGCACTGGGCTGTAATTGACCGCGGGGTGTTGCAGGGGGGTCCGAACTAGTAGTTCCCTTGCCCTCCGGTGCTGCTCCGCTGTCACCGTGTTCGTCGCCGGCATTAGCGGAGCTTTCTGGTGTTGTGCTACTGTTGCTCCAGGGTAAGGCGAGTTTGGAAAAGCTAACTTTCAACATGGCGAGCAAGTTAGTAAGAGGGACTGCTTAAACTGTGCTACTAAATTACGGGCTCACGTTACCAAGTATGGAGCACCCACTGACACAACGGAACAAGCGAAAGAGGCATCCATGCCCTAGAAGAGGGGAACAATAAGGCTAAAAAATCGTATAACTAGCTGCGTAGAAAATATAGAAGTTTGGAGTAGTAATAATCGCTACGCATAGCCATAGGAGGCTGTTCTGTGGAGAAAAGGGAGCGGAGCGACGGTTGCCAGGGTGTGGAGTGGATAAAGGAACCAATGCGAGACGTACAATCCTGTATAAGTGATAAGTGTGGGAGAGAATTTCTCCAGACACCGAAACGGTGATTTGCCGTTGCATACGTGGCCTCGAATTGCTACCGTGGTCGGACAATTCGATGATAATTGCTCGAGTGGTCTTGCCAGAGGTTTCCTCTGGCAATTTTTTTAATCCGGCACATTACCCAAAACCGGTTTTTAGCCCTGAAATTCTTACGTCGAACGTGTCTCTTCCCGCGAAAGTGTGGCGTACCCGGAAAGACGTGCACGAGGGCGACAACGTCACTATTCGGATACGCGACAAAAATCAGCACACTCATCTAGGCAAACAGTTGCGCTCAATTTCGGTCCATATCGTAACCAATCCGCGCATAGTTATATGATTCCACGATCATATATTCAGTTGGACGGATGTCAGTACGCGCGACCAATTACAGAGTGCGCCTGATTGGTCGACTTTATGCGCGGGGCCTTTTCTAACCTTGCGCGTGTCAGAACATTATAGCTTATGCTGTTGTGTAGGCTATAGTGGGGTATCCCATAGGGGGTACAACCAATTAGGGTTTCATATTTGTACTCACTTCATTTTCATAGTTCACCCCATTCTCGTTCTCATTCTCACATGGAATCAGAGCAGGTCCCCTCCTAGGGACTGTTCCTTGGGCCCACCGAAGCGCGCCTCGAGTCGCGCCTGCTTTTTTTTTTTTTTTTTTTTTTTTAGCGGCCCGTCGAGTCGCACCTAGCGGCCCGTCGCGCCGCCCTTACGGTCGCGTCGAGCCGCCCTAGCGGCTGCGGCGCGCCGCCCTTTTCCCGGCCCGTCGCCGCCCTTACCCGCGGCTTTGCGCCGCCCTCACCGGCGGCTTCGCGCCGCCCCTACCTGCGGCTTCGCGCCGCCCAGGCCCGTCGCCGCCCTTCCCGCGGCTTCGCGCCGCCTCTACCTGCGGCTTCGAGCCGCCCCGGCCCGTCGCCGCCCTTACCTGCGGCTTCGCGCCGCCTACGGCCCGTCGCCGCCCCTTTTCTGCGGCCCCGCCGCCTCTCTCGTTGCGGCCCCGCCGCCCGTCTTCGCGGCCCCGCCGCCATCTCTCGCTGCGGCCCCGCCGCCACTCACTGCGGCCCCGCCACCCGTCTCAGCGGCCCCGCCGCCCGTCTTCGCGGCCCCGCCGCCTCTCTCGCTGCGGCCCCGCCGCCTCTCACTGCGGCCCCGCCGCCCTACTCAGCGGCCCCGCCGCCCGACTTCGCGGCCCCGCCGCTTCTCTCGCTGCAGCCCCGCCGCCTCTCTCGTTGCGGCCCCGCCGCCCTTCACTGCGGCCCCGCCGCTTCTCTGCAGCGGCCCCGCCGCCCGTCTTCGCGGCCCCGCCGCCTCACTACCCAGCGGCCCCGCCGTCCTTCTGCAGCGGCCCCGCCACTCCTCTACAGCGGCCCCGCCGCCCTACGTCAGCGGCCCAGCTGAGCCGCCCAACAGCAGCGCAGCCGAGCCGCCCAGCAGCAGAGCAGCCGAGCCGCCCCGCCGCCGAGCCGCGCTGCAGCCGAGCCGCCCGGCCGCCCACCAGCCGAGCCGCCGTGCAGCCGACAGCCCAGCTGCCGAGCCGCCCAGCTGCCGAGCCGCCCAGCCGCCGAGCCGCCCAGCCGCCGAGCCGCCCAGCGGCCGAGCCGCCCTGCAGCCGAGCCGCCCGAGCAGCCCTGTCCGGTGAGCACAGACCCTCTGTCACTGCGTGCTCTTCCCCTACTCCTTGCACTGCTGGTCTACTGCTGTCATGGCTACCCCTAGTGTCCTCACTTTTGACGCTGAGGGTCGGGCCATTGACTTTGAGGTCTGGGTAGATGACCTACAGCTGTTCTTACAGTGCGATAGGGCGGACGGCCTCTCTCTCTTTGACCTCACCTCTGGCGCTTCCCCTGCCCCTGCTGCTGATGCTGACGCCACTGTTCGCTCCCAGTGGGCCACGCGCGATGCTGCTGCACGTCTTGCTGTGCGTCGCCACCTCCCTACCTCCGAGCGTGCGCACTTTAGTCAGTACAAGAGTGCTCAGACCTTGTACGCCGCTGTAGTCGCGCGCTACTCCTCCCCTTCCACTGCTGCACTGAGCCGTCTCATGCTGCCGTACCTCTTCCCTGACCTTGCTTCTTTTCCCACCGTTGCTGACCTCATTACGCACCTCCGCACTAGTGACACTCGCTACCGCGCTGCACTTCCTGCTGACTTCTGCACCGCGAACCCCCCTCCCATGTACATCACTCTGTACTTCCTAGTCACTCGCCTCCCTGACTCCCTTCGAGTAGTCAGGGACCACTTTCTCTCAGTCTGTCCCACCACACTCACTGTAGACCTCCTCGAGAAGGCCCTCCTCGCGATAGAAAAGAGCATAGTCGCTGTAGGAGCCTCTCGAGGTGACCCGCGCACCCCCATCTTTGAGGGGTGTTCTCCCTCCCCCCTGCTGCCCTCTGTTGCCTCTGCTGCTTCGGCCGACCTCCTTGGTCTTGAGTCGGTCGGTGCGGCGTCTGCCCCTAGCGGGAGACGCCGCCCTGGCAAGGGCAAGGGGGGCAAGGGAGCTGGAGGAGCGGGCGATGGAGGTGGCGGTGGAGGCAGTGGGGGGAGTGGGGGTAGCGGTGGAGGTGGAGGTGGGGGTGGGGGGTTCGGTGGCGGCAGTGGAGGCGGAGGCCGCGGCGGCGGTGGCGGTGGTAGCGGAGGTGGCGGAGGAGGCGGCGGTGGAGGAGGCGGTGGAGGCGGCGGCGGCAGTGGAGGCAGCGGAGGCGGTGGAGGCGGTGGGGGTGGCGGTGGAGCTGGTCGCGGGTCTTTGCAGAGGAGTGGCTCCGGTGGTGGCTCGCGCCAGCAGCAGCAGCGTGGTCGTGCGACCCTGTCCCCTCAGCAGCTCCGTGAGTGGTACACTGCACGCCAGCGGGGTGGGGGTTTTGGTCCGTGTACCTACGTCCTGCGCACCGGCGACCGTGCGGGTGAGCAGTGTGGGGGTGCGCACCCCACTCCGCGCTGCTTTGGCCGCCTGACGGACGCATGGCGTCACCAGTTCCCGGAGGCCTCCGAGATCCCTCGCTGGGACGAGCTGTCTAGGGCGGGGGTTGCCATCTTTGATCTGGACTTTGATGCTATTCTCTCTGCCATGTATGCTGTGTCTATTAGTGATGAGGGTGACTGTTACCGGTGTTTCCAGCCCGATCCGGGCATTGAGACTGCTGCTCTAGGTACTGGTGAGGCTGCTGCCCTAGGTGCTTACGACGCTGCTGCTCTAGGTGCTGGTGTGTCTGCGTCCTCAGGTACTGGTGAGTCTGCTCTCTCAGGTACCGCGTCGGCTTCGGCCTCCCTCACCTTCACTCTTGACTCTGGGGCGTCTCGCTCCTTCTTTCGGGACCGCACCACACTCACGCCGCTTAGTCGGCCGGTTGCGGTGTCTCTGGCTGACCCCTCTGGGGGTCCGGTCCTGTCTCGTTTCTCCACAGTCCTCCCGTGTCCGGCGGCTCCCTCTGGCACCCTGACTGGTCTCTACCTCCCCTCGTTCTCGACGAACCTGGTGAGTGGTGCTGACCTACAGGATGCGGGTGTCCACCAGTTCACTCCTGCACGTCAGCGAGTGACCCACTGTACAGAGGCTGGCACAGGCCGACACCTGGCTACGTTCACCCGTCAGCCGGGGTCGAGCCTGTACACTCTGACCACTGCGTCTCCTCCAGTTGCTGAGTCTGGTAAGGTAGTTACGTCGGGTCAGGTGTTTGCTGCGGCGTCCAGGTCTGGTCCTGAGTCTGCCCCCTGTTCGTGTCGTCTCCTGTCTCACGAGACTCTCCTCTGGCACCACCGCCTTGGCCACCCCTCTCTGCTTCGGCTCAGAGGTATGGCCTCCCGTCTTCTTGTGTCCGGTCTCCCCCGGTCCCTCCCTCCCCTTCCTCAGGGCCCTGGCCCTGCCTGTGTCCCCTGTGTCGAGGGGCGCCAGCGTGCTGCCC